CTCCGTCTCTGCGCATGCCTCCTGCCGCGCTCTGAACGATCAGGGGAGCGCGCTCTGGGCTGTCCCAAAGCCACCACCTGCGATCATCGATGGGTTCAAGGCTGTGGAGGTTCACAAGCCACTCACTACCCGTGGGTAGAATGGAATCTGTACCTTCCCACGTCTTCCCCAGCAGAGCTGCAGCATAGCTTAAAATGACTGAAACACGCATCAGATGTATCTCCTTTTAGGTTTCTGACCTAGACTTTCTGCGGCAAAGCAGCATGGAAAGAAAGAAATCCCATTAAAAATAAATTTACACATTTCCTGACCTTCAGCTTCTGAGAATGGTTAGCAATGTTCAAACTAATCTGCTTTGTGGTTGGACCCTTCCTTTTCCCCAGCTTTTGGCAAAAACCTGTTCTGGGTCATTTCTGTTAACAGTTCCACGTGGAAATTCTGGGTAGTGCATGTAGTGTGCAAGAGCTCTGACTTCACTGCAGGGATGCAGGGGTCTGTTCTGAGAAGATTTGCCGCTGTCAAGTAGTTCCTGCAGGCCAGGCAGTAGCACAACACGTTAGCACCCCTCAGCACTTGGCACGTTCACGGGGAGCAGCTGTCTCCTCTAACCTACAACAAACAGTAGTCTCAGCTGGTTCCCAGAGCCAAGGAAGCACCCTTCTCCAGAAGCTACTCCCTCCCATACACCACATGCCCTTTCTGCGTCTGTTGCCCACCAAAGCCAGGAGTGCAGAACATTTTGCAGGGTTTTCTTTTTGCTTCAGCATGGAATTTTATTTTGGGGTGCTCTCGTTACCAGCAAGCAAAGTATAAAAGTTTGCAGTCAAAATAACAGCAAATGCAAACATTCAGAAGAGGTTAGAAAAACACATTGCTCATTCCTCGGACTACAGACCAATAGTGACTGCAAAAAGGCAGAACTAGTACAAGAGGTTTGTAACAGTCTCCGTGGAGCTGGGATCAAAAAAGATTGGCAGATAAAAATAAGGACAAGAAAATAAGATATACCTTATTAAGGTACTGTGCTCTCTGCTTTTAATCCTACCAGAAGTTGACAGCATTCAGACTGCAACGTCACTCTGTACCAGGTACCCAATTCGTCTGTCTCATGGAAACAATTTCAGCAGTGGAGAGCAGAACCCTCCTGTCTTCGCTACGTGGTGAAGTTTCTCTCTCTTCTGCCTATTAAGGTCCTGTCGCAAACCGCACAGACGTTTCAAAACGCTGCCTCAAAGGGACACGCATAAAAATCAACAGGCCTGAAAGGCAACTGTCCCTTTCCCCAGCAGACACCGCGTTCTGCCCCACTGGGAACAGCTCTTTCTGGAGCCAGAGAGGGGGCCCAGGCTCCCAAGCCCACGAGATGGCTTAGCTCGGTGTGCTCTTGCACCCTCAGTTCCTCCCACCCCTCCACTGGTGACCCCATGCTGCAGAGGAGCACCCCGTTATCAGGGGACTGCCCTTCTCAGGAAGTCAAAAGTCTCCCCTTCTCGGGAGGCAGCAGCTGCCTGGTTACGGGGGCGTGCTGTTTTTAAGGTCCCATTCTCCAGAATTAGGAGGCATTAAGTTAACTCCCTCAGCTCAAGCAGCAGCGTCTGTGCCGTAACAGCCTGCCAGTGGCAGTGCTACCACCAAAACCATGACCAGCTTTTTCATGGGCAACTTTGAAACTGATGGGCAGATCCTCACTTTGCTGTAAAAACTGTAAGAGAAGCTACAGCTACACATGCCAGGAGAGCAAGATGCTGCTCCTGCACAGGTTTCTACAACACACAGACGCATCCTCAGGCCTGGGTATTCCTCTGTGTCTGACCACAAATGGAATCGAGATCATGTCACTACAAGACAAAAACCACTGCAAAATGATTTCCTCACACAGCACCTTTACTCTGCACAGAACATCAGATACGGTAACACTGGCAGTTCAAAGATACTGGACTGTATTTTTTATCCTCCAGAAGTTGCAGGCTGCAGAAGAAATCCAGACTAGCCATTAGTTCAATCAGCACACAGGAAACAACAAGCAAGAACAGAATCTGGTGCGGGCTTGGTGGGGTTTTTTGTTTTCAGGTTTGTTCTTGTTTTTGAAAGATGTAAAGCCTTTAACTTCCACACCCACATGAACCATTTTGCTCACCTATTTACCATTTAAAACTATGTCTAACTGGGGATGGTGAGCAACACTCACAGCTATCTGAAACCCCAGCGTAGATAGGCACATCCCCCCACTCCATTATTAACTAAGTTAAAAACAAACCCCAAACTTAAATGATGAATACAAAGCTTCAAAGCCTAGTGGTGATCTCTGCAATCCTAACACTATTAAACAAGTAGCCAAAATACAAGCACCCGATTTTATCAATGGAATTTGATTAAAAGGACAACTAGGCTAGAGCCTGGCTTGGACTTCGAAGCTACATATTTAATCAGGTCACAAAATGAAGCGAGAACCATGTATCCACTGCCAGCTCAAGAAAAATAAACCCCAAAGTTCAAGATCTGCTGGAGTATTGCTATTTCTAAGGTTTTCTTTAGAGATATTACAAACAGATGATGTGCAGGTAGCCAGATTGCATCAAATGACTGATTTTACAGTGGGTGAGGTTCCTCTGTGAGGATAACTTGCTTCAACGTTAATGTCTTAACATTAAAAACAAAAATTTTGTGTCTTCACGCTGAAAGTGAAAAAGCTCTTCAGGTTTAAGTTTGTTTTATCCAAACACATCAGCAAAATCCCACTTGCGCACAGCACATGTTTTTGCAAACTAAAAGCACGCTATTCTGTCGTTTCCTTGCTTTAGGGGGGCTAAAACCTGAACACATGAACTGGATCGTCAGATACGAAATAGTGCTGGTTGACAGGGAAGTGTACAGTGTGTTGTGTTTGAAGGAACATTTTTTTTTTCCCCCCCGGCCGGTACGTGCTCAACACTAAAGCACATCTCCTGGTATTGGTTGTTAAGAAAAAAATTAACACGGCTTGATTTTCAACCTTCTCTGAAGTTGCGGAAACAACACAAAAAAGAAATTGGTTTCTACTTTTGCATATCCTCCATGAAGGGGACTTTTGAAATTGTTTGATGCTGTGCTATGAAATGCTTAAAAGTAAACTTTCTCCTACCTAGTGAAGTAAACCTGGAACTGACAGGGAAGGGAATTAGAGTGAATAAATCCCAGCTTTGTTCTCTGTTATACCTGCAAACAAATCCACTTGCCAACTGATGTTTTAAAAGTTCATTCTCATCAAAATGTAGTATCAGTATTTTAAAAAATTACTGTTGTCTGTAAATCCCTTAAGCTCTTCAACTGTGATGTCACACACAAAGATGTGACATGAAACTGCTATAACACACTCTCCCTTACCAGTTTGAAACCCATTTACTGGGTCTCGTATTACAGAGGGACATGGACCAGATATACCCTCGTGTACCCAGTCTTCTGACTTTTCACCTGCTCTCTTCCAGCAGAACCATATGCCTCTAACTGGAGAACATTTCACAAACTCCATGTACTTAATGGGAGCCTCATAAAACATTCTTTTGGAGATGCCAGCAGAGGGCATTGACCTGCTTTATGAAGTTCTTCCAAGCACAAGAGCCAGTTTTACCCTTGTGAACGCTTCCTAGGGCTTCCCCCAGAAAACGCAGACAAAGCAGCTAACTGACACAATTTGTTTCCACTCTAAAGTTACACTCACTCATATTATCGTTTGCTCAGAGGTGTGCAAAAAAACCCCCTATATTGAAGAACTGGACCTAGCCCCTTCTCAGATGAAATTCATATTGCATTGTTCATGATTTTAGTCAAATCGACTTTGTGCAAAATATCTTTAAGAAGGTTCCGGCTCAACTTCAGAATACAAAAGGAAAATAAATAGTTGACTAGGATCTCTTGAAAACATAAAATCAATGGTGTATGCTGAAGAGAAAATTACAGGCTTAATGCAATTTATCTGCAAATCAGATAACTAGAATAGTAGTGTCTGAAATTTTAAGATGTGAGATGGCATTGATAAAGACTTCCATTTGCACAATAACGTTCCCAAAGTCTAGATCAAAACACCATTATTTTACACAGGGTAACTGCGGAGACTAGGAGCCTGAGATATGTTATTAAAAGGCAGTCCCTTGTAAACTTTCCTCAAAAGGAACAGTAGCAGTTGAGTATGCAAGAGTTACTCATATCGTATTCATCAAGACACCAATGCTTTATAAGAGACATACAGCTCATTTCCAGGTTGTTAAGGATTTTATATGATACTGATTTTCTGAAATACGTATCCATCCAGTTCAAGATTGAAGTCACATCCTTCCTCACTGCTCTGTAGCTACTAGGTCTTTTGCTCTGCTGCTGTTGCTGTCTGTGAAGGAGCTTCTGGTTTCACAATCTGGTAAGTAATGAGATATTCCGGGTATGCCTGAAAGTTAAGTCAAGAAAAAAAAATGACACATTGCTTTATGCAAGGGTATGCTCAGCAAGTTCACATTTTAGATTTCACTAAACAGTGATCAGGAAGGACAGTGCAAGAATCAGCTCTATGCTTGCAGAGTGCAAAAGAAAAAGCAGATTTCAAACCTAGCCAGCACTAAGTGGGAACTGTTTGTTATAGTTAGTATCTTCGTTAACACACTGCTAGAAAGAAAGATGTTTCTTCCATGCAGACACTGCCAGAAAATGTGTGCGCAACAGCAATTCACAATCACATTTACTCTCCTCGTTAGCTAACCCTACAGATCAGTCAGTGCCTGCAAGTTATTAGAAAATCTCAGATGACCAATGTGGTCTGACCCTAAAATGCTCACTGACTTTCCATGTGATCTGGAAATGGCTTTACTGGCAGTAAAATACTTGGCACACCCAAAGCACGTAACCCAGGCGCCTGTCCATCGTTTTCTCAAGACAATTGGTAGGAGGTTCAGTCCCAGAACAAAGCTAAAGTTGCTGAAGGGCAGGGCCGCATTCAGAGGAACCTAGACCGATGAGAGGAGACCGGGCCAACAGAGGCCTCATGAAATCCTGCAAGTGCAAATGCACCTGGGGTGAACTAATTCCTTACAACATTGCAGAAGGGGAGGCAGCTCTGCTGAAAGGTGCTGGGGGCCCCCGGGTGACAGCAAGCTAAAACAGAATCAACGGTGTGTTGTGGCAGCAATGAAGGCTATCAGCATCCTGTGGTACACCCACAGTAGCACAGCCAGCCAGATGAGTGCAGCAATGGTTGCTGTTTATTCGGTACTCACTAGACCACATTTAGACAACTGCATACAACTTTTGGGCCCTCCACTACCAGAAAGATGAAAACAAGCTGGAGCGAAGTTCAGTAAAGGACCAATAAGACAGTCAAGGGGAGAGAGCACATGATAAACAAGAGGCTGAGGGAGATGGGCTTGTTCAGTTCACAAAAGGGAAGGCTTTGTGGGCCCTCATAGCAATCTTCCAAAACACATGGAAGGCTACTGAGAAAACAGAGCCAGATTATTTTCCAAGCTGCACAGCAGGAGAATGAGACTAATAAAACAGGGGAGGTTCTTACTGGATACAAAGAACGTATTTTTTGCTCTGAGGATAATTAAACAAAGGAACAAGCTGCTGAGAGAGGCTGTGGAACACCACTCTCCAAGGCCTTCAAGACCCACCTGGTCAAAGAAAGCCCTCAGCCAGCTGGTCTGAATTCAGCACAAACAAGAGACTGGCCAGCCTAGCTGACCTTCCCAAGGTTCCTTCCAACCTGAATTTATTGTATAACCTTGGAGCCATCCAGAGTAGCAAGCAAACCACTCTTCTAGAGTAAGGGTCTAACTGTCTAGTGCTTCAGATTTAAAATCACCTCCTGAAGGTTGTTGTGCTACTTCAGCTGCCATTTAAGGGTCATCTCTGGCAGACAGGGGACACTGTCACTGCTGGGAATCTACAGATAAAAAGCCCAGAATCCTCATTATCTACAGGAGCCCCCAAAATGTACGTGTTCTTCTTACTACAGTAATGCCAGTAAAATGCAATGGGAGAACCAGTGCCTCCTGAGAGAAGTGACAACTCTAAACACACTCCAGCAGTGCTGCACAGGGGGAATCAGGCAATTCTGCATGGTGTAAATCAGTGCAGCTCAGCGGCAAGGAGCAGCATTTGCTGGCTTGATACAGTTCACTGTTTATTTCCACATTAAATTAAGAAAATCTAATCAACCAGGTAATCACAGCACAGCTGGTATGGAAACCAGTGACATGCCCTCTCCAGCTCGAAGTTCTGCCCTCCCATAAACCCAGTCCTTGCTAACCCACATACCTGTTCTCCTCTATAGATAACATACTCGGCGTACGCAAGTCCATTCACGCTTGGCCGGCCAATAACAGAATGGTGCCCTGGAGGGGCATGAGCCATTTTCATTGTGCTGAACTGAAGAAAGGATTTTCCAAGGGTCACTCTACAGAAGAGCATTTGTCTAAAAGGAAAAAAGAAAACATCAGTATAAAATATCTTACTAGGAGTTGTATGCTTCCAGAATGATTTCAGACTTCTGAGTGTATTTAGTTACAATTAATTTCTCAAGGCTTTTTGGAGAAACAGTTCTAAGGCTGTACAAAACCTGTCACAAAATGTCTTTCTTGACATGCAGAAGGGAAAACACACTTTGCTTAGCACGCACATGGAGACCTGCTCTAGGTTTATTTTACATAAAGCTGTTGAAAGAAGCTGAAACTCTCTCTGTGATCCTACCAGCAGGGTATGGACAGGTGTCAAAGCGCAAAAAGCACACCGATCTACTCCAGCACAAAACAAAGCTGTGATTAAGTCCTGTTCACTACCGCCAAAATTATCTGATCCATAGTACAACACTGTACTGCTGACCACCACTTTGCACTGCAGTTTTGTTCTGAGGGTGCCTGGAGTTTAATTGCTACTCTCTTCTGACTCTTCATTTTCAAATTTGCTGTTTCAAGCTTCTTTCCTGAGCCACAATTCACTTTGATTTATACTCACTGTATGCTTAGATGTAGTTTTGACCTTTCTATGAGACTCGCTCTGCATTTAAACCCTTTTTTGTTCAGCCCTGACAAACGGAAAACTGCATTTTTCTTGCCATGTCCAAGCTCAAGCGGCTATTCTCTCCCTGCAATCCATCCTGTGCCAGGATTGTAAAAACCAGGACAGCCAGAATTACGTACAGGGAACTCTGGTGGACCCCTACCTGTGGCAGATATAGCAGGACCTGTCCTTGTGTGTGGGACAGCCCGTTCCTCCCCCTATACCATACACATACTGGTTGCTTTTTGAGGAGTTCTCAGCAAAGTAAATTCCAGCTCCAAACATTCCTCCAATGTATGCATGCCTTTCATCAAATCCTTTGTGAATGATAGCATTAATAAAAGGAGACCCTACAACAGAATAACACGAAATGATGTATTATGATACATACTTGTTAAGCTCTATAGTAACACAGGACTATGTCAAGAGGAGCTTGTCTGCCTCAAATAGACCATTAAATACCAGAAAGCGTGCTCAGTCAGCTGGAAGGGGGCGATACCCAGCAGGATGCAGTGATGTGTGGGATTTATCGTTATATACCAAGAACCCACGTGTGACTCATATTTCTTACTCATTTCACAGATCTCATTAAATGGCTTTCCCCCTACTCACATTTCAGCGCAATTTATCTTGTCAATGCACACCTTCCCCAGCAGCCAGTACTGGTTAAGATGGGGCAACATGTCAGGACAACCATACCCAAAACCAATTTCCTACGCAGAATCATAGAAGGATCTATGGCAGGAGGACCCTCAGGCAACTGTCATTTGTAGGCACTTCTGGATGCTTCTAGAGAACATCTTGCTGAAACTCACGATTGGTTTTGATTCCTTTCCCTGATGGTTGCCTGAAGTGCCAGCGTAAAACGCTTTTACTGTGTGCTGCTTCCTTCTTTTAGAAGCTACTCTGTCTTTCTCACAGCAATGTAACATCCTCCAAGCAGCTTTATGGAAATGACTAAGATACGGCATAGCAAAAAACTTTTTTTTTTTTTCTTTTTTTAAATGCATTTTTTTATCTAGTGTAGCTTTTCAGATTGCAGTAATCACACAGACTAACTCCACCACCCCCACACCTCTGCATTTCTCATGTACAAATACAATTACTATGTAGGATGGTGACACAGCAACATTAACATTGCCTGTGGGTCCTTGCAAACTTTTTTTTTTAAATAGCAGTATGTACAAATAGAGATCACTTCCTTACCATGAAACAACATGCGTTCATTGTGATGATTATGATTCTCCTCAGAGACCTCCTTCTGTCTGTGACAGAACCTCTCTCGCAACTTCTTGTTCACAACCTTTTGAATCTGCAGATACAACAGGTCCAATCATACTTGAATTGGAATTTAAATAGGATATAGTTTCACTGAGTTTGCATAAATTCAACAGAGAAACTAAGAGTAAGACACATGAATGGTATAAAGAAACCCCAGGGCTGTTCTGCATGCAAGGCTGAAGTCTTTCAAACACATCGGTTGCACGTGCTTACAGATGGTTAAAACTACTGTGAAATTGCAGCCTAAGTTCTCGAGTTTAAGGAAGACTTCCAGACTTCCTCCTCCCTCAGAGCTCGTAATACCACCAAGAACCACAAACTGGCTGAAACTCCTTCCCCTTCTGCTTTGACCTCTGTTCAACGATCTGGGCTATCTATTTGAAGCCAATTTCCTTTATTTCCTCCTCCCCCAAAAAATGAACCAGAAAGTGTACTTTCCCCTCAGAAAGACAACGCTTCATTTTCTGACATGCCAGGGCTTGTGAAAGGTATTTTTCTAGTTAGCAGGGGCAAAGAAGAAGGTGGCAAGATCCAAAGTAGCATAGGGAGATAGAAACTTTCAATAAAAAGTCATGTTCATCCATTCCCCCTCCCCAAAAATCCCCTTTAAAAGGCAAGAAAAGACTACGCTGAAAAAAAAAATATCTGTGCTGCAAAATCAAATACAGAAATTATAGATCTCTGAAGTTAAATCAGGCTGTGAAACGTAAGTCAAGCTCTTCACCACTTTTGTCTTCAATATCGGTTCTGCAGATTCCTTTAAGAGCACAAGTGGATACTTCTCCCTCATTCCATATGCAGAGCACACGATCAGTCTAATTTTAGCATTTAGCACTTGCTTTAACTCTGCTCCCGAATATTATTTTGACAAAGGACTTCAAATATAAAAGGGTGATCCATGAAACCAAGTCTGCCTGCTTGCATAAGTACCAGCTTATTTTACCACACAGAATTAAGAGGTTTTGAAACTCACCCTGATGACATTGTACCTGTTGAAGATTCCGCCAGCATTTCCACCATCCCGATGCTCCCGGATTGTACTTTGCATCTACATAAATGAACACAACTGAATGTTCAGCACACAATGCCTGCCAGCAAGGTAAAGTATTCATGCAATATCTCAGTATATCACTGACAACAACACACAATCTTGATCAAAAATTAATTAAAAGGTGTTTAAAAAACCCTCCCAAAAATGACAACTCAGTTTTAAACTGAGGTACACCCTTATTTCTCAGGCACCCGACGCACTATGCTGTTCCACAATGGAGAATTTGGATGATGCAACTATCCGATCCTGTAATAAAAATCTACATAGGAAAAAGGACAATAGTGGCACTTGCTATCAAAATCATACACAACTAGAAAACTTGCTTTAGATTAGAGGAAAAAAAAAAATCTTTGAAAATGAATACACAAAAAGATCATTTTTCCAGTAACAACAAATGTGTTTCGAATGCGTACAGTTTGTATTTCTTAGCGATAGGAAAATGCTTACACCGTAAATTTTCCTATGTCATTAGCAGCCCCCTGAGAATTTCAACAGTTTCATTGTATCTTTTCCAGAGGTATTTATAGTTACAGCAACAACGCTTAGTAACAGCTCAAATAAATATCTCAATTTACTATAGCAGACAAGTGACCCTTTCTGTCAGAAAAGTTTATGCAAAATATCTGCACAAACTCCAGTTTACAGAGTTACTAATCAGAAATATTCCAGGCTAAGCTGGCAGCTATCCTGATTAAGAAGACTCCCAACACTATTGTGCTACAGTGTAGGAACACTACACAAATAGCAAATGCATGGTAAAATGGAGTTTCTTACAAACACAGCTCTTCAGAAAATCTCTGTTATGATTTTTCTTTCAAAATGGTATCTGCCTGTAGTTTACTTAAATAAAAGAGCATGTGTGTGTGGGAGGCAAAATTACAGTCAACTCTCAATTATCCATGAGCTGTTTATCTGGGTTACAGATTAACTAAGTCACTGAGACAAGAGAAAACAAGCTGGTTCACATGCAGAAACAGCCTGAGCTCAGGGAATGCCTACAGACTTGCAAGGCCTTGATCCCTTGGGTCTTCACTCACAGCCTTTGATTTTCACAGGTCCACCTATTCTGGGAAAGCTGTAGAAACCCTTGCTACAAGATGATATCCAAAACACAAGAACAGAAAGGCAATATTGGGATAACACTAGGTGAGAAAACAGACCACTTATTAAAAACAAAAAATGGCAGGACACAGAAATACAATTTCCATCATTGCTCTACATAGAAAGACAAAAGAAGAACCCTAAACTTCATGTCAGATCTATGCAATTCATACACCAAAGTATATTTTATCGCTTTCAACATGCATTGCATGCTTTAGCTCTGAAGGCTTGTAAGTGAAGCCACTGGAGCATTAAGAAAGCTACTTGCAATACCTCCTCTTCTACGGACTGATACTCCTTGTCATCAGGAGCAAGGTCAAGGAGAATGGTCCCCTGACTGACGCAGTGGAAAGTCAAATAAGGATTGGTGCCTGTGAAGAGAAGGAATTGAAGAAATAAAAATCAAAAGAGGCAAACAATACCAGCTCTATTTGTATCTAGCATTATTCTTAAATAACCCCAGTACAGCAGAAAATGCAAAACAAACACAAGGCAGAAGCACAACCTTGAAAAGATAAAGTGCTTTCATGAGCAGCACAGGCTTTGTAAGAGAGAAGCAAAATGCATGTGGGACATAATTGCATTTTATTGTTTCTGCTTTCAGTAGAAGCATCTGAGAAGTGTGGGGCAGCAAAAAAACTCCATCAGATACACACTTCAGGACACAACAGGCCCGTGGATCAGTGTGTAGGGCAAATCAGTCCAAAAGCTCCGGCCTGTGTGAAACAGAGTCCCTGGAAATGGGCACAGACTCCACAGCTGCCTCAGGGGTGCCCATTTTCTGGAAAGGCAAGTGATCACTCAGTCCTGCATGTCCTCAGTCTGTTCCTTACCTGTCACAAGTAACCCAGTCACCGGGTCTGCCAGCAAGTACATTTTCATGACACTCAGATTCTTTTAAGTCCTGGTGACAATTCCTACATTTACAGAAGGTGACTGGTGGGAGCCAGCTGTATGCCACGCTTAGACTAACCAGTAAAAGTGCCGTATTTACCTTGCTGCCCTCCTAGCAGTCTCTCCACACCTTTTATCAATTTGTGGCGGTGTCCATAAGCATTGATCCCAATTTCTTTAAGTTCCTCATGCCCCATGTCTGCCAACACATCCAGAGTTATCTGGAAAGGTGAAAGACCACAAAAATCACTTGCCAAACCCAACCCGATTCCCAAGGCTGAATACCCATCAGCTCAGAAAATGGGATGTATTCATGCTGCAACCAAGAGAGTATACATATTTTAAGGTTTGCTGCACTTATAATTGCTGCCACCTTCTGGCAAGCCTCTCCCTATCACAGGACCATACCCAGCTGCTACAGTCCGAAGCTATGGAAAACTTACTTCTCATACAGCAGTTAACAAGACCTGGTTCTCACCAGAGGTTCTCAAAATTATTTTTACTTATGTAGAAGGAGGATGCACGGAAATTCTGTGACAAATTTGGGAATATTTTTGCAGCATTCAAAGTTTTACATTCATGTGCAATTTATTATTTTCACTACACAAGCAGAAATGAATATTCTACAAGCTTATTAATAAATGTTAAGCGTATTTCACATCAATATTACTGTGGTAATGTGTGCTGTTACTGTGTGTACATATCCAGGTGCACACCTGCATGTGTATCAAACCAGTGGGTCAGCTATGCTAAGTTATGCTCAACTCTGCCACTATTTTTGGAAATAATTAACATTGTCAGCACATGTACAACTGCTAATTCGGTTGCAATATATGAATACATGCACAATCACCTGACAAGGTTTTATATTTCAAGATCACGGAGATCGTTGGTGGAACAAGAAACATAATAAAACATGATGTCAAAAACTTTTTTTTTAAAGAGCAGAGGATAAAGGCTCCATAAAGCACACATTTTTATTATTATTGTAAAGCAACTGTGCACTGAGGTGATTCTGTGAAAAACAGATTTCATTTGGAGGAGATAATGATATAAAATCTACTTCCAAATTTACAAATTAAACTAGAATGGGAAGCTCAGCAAATAATGGGCAACCATACAACTTCATTCAAGAGAAGCTGGATTGTTAGCACAACTGGACTTGCAGGTATGAGCTCTGTCCACTAGAGACTGAGTATTATTAATCCAAAAGAAAGCAACTCAAGTAAGGAATTAAGAGCTACAATGAACATCTGTCCAACTGAGCAGAAAACAATCTTACTAAGATTGCTGTGGAAAAGCCACTGAAGGCATTAATCATGTGCAGAGGAACATTAAAAAAATAATAGAAGAAACCCAGATATTGGAAAGCATCAGCACAGAACCTGTATGAACAGGAAGTCAGAGCCAAGGTGACAAACTGCACATGAAGGTACTGCAGTACTTTGAAAAAGAAGCTTAAAACAGTAAGAATAAGGAAGATGAGCTTCTCTTCACTAGAAAGAAACTTCCAAGAGGAGCTAAACAGTTTCAAAACAATGAATGAATACAATGAATCCAATTCACATTATTAAATCTTCCTAGCAGGGGCAGATCTTAAAAACAGGTTAGCAGTTAAGGAAGCAAAAGCAGAACAAAACCAGGACAGCAACAGGAAGGCGTGAAAAATAATAAGAAAAGAGAAATGTGAGTAGAATATAGGTTGGTTTGGCATTGTTTTGCTTCTTAATAGAAGCAGTTCCAAATTAAAGAGCTATGCTTTATACGTAAGAAGGGAGAAAATATTATACGGCATTTTAACTTTGGGAAGACACCTCTTGTAACATCACATGGAAACAGTTGAAACTTTTTCTGTAAGCAACACATTACATTTCAAATTTTTGTTTCCTGACCCCTCATAAAACATTAGCAGCAGAGGCCTGGGAAAAAAATAACCATCAGATCAAGTCTCTTGAACTTGTACATTTCACTTCCATCTTGCTCATGCAAACTAGTGATCTATTTAACCTCAACTTGTTAAATTTAAAAAACAGTACATAAAAATGGTCTACAAATACAACAGACGTACTTCTGCTCTAAAAAGTAATGTAAGCGCGTGAAACAGTCACCTGAGCTGTATTCTTTTTATATATTGTGAATTACTGATAAATATGCAGGTTTCTTCCCCCATTTCTCCATTCCATTTAAAACTTATTAGCCCTGCAAAACCCAGTTAATGCTATAGTCCTAACCTACTGGGAAATGGTGGTTCTGCATTCTCTAATGTGACTACATCCTGGTAAACTAGATTTTTATTTCAGCTTATGGTCAAGCTGGAGGGTTTCCTAAATCTAACCAGAGTCACATACAGCACTACAGGTGGTGACAAGCTTGTCTGGATGTCAAGACTGCTGAAGGACGAGTGCAGGTGACATTCCAACCTAACTTTGTTGTAGCTATCACGTTCGAAGTTCACCAGGTCCAATGTAGCTCTCAGAATACAAGTCAAACTGACAGTCATCACGTATGTGTAAGAAAGTGAAAGACACTGGATATCTGAATCAAACACAAAAAGGATTTTCACAGGTTTCCCAACTTCATCATACAGTATTTGGTGACTCATTTGCAGTTTTCTTGGATGGACTTGTTTTTCTGTAGGTGTGAAGTTGTTTTTTGTGTTTCCCTTTCTCAATTAGAGAATGAAAATGTCACTCAAATTCATTAGATTAATCTATCTTTTAAACATACAGAGACAAGGCTTGCCACTTACCTGTTCTGTCTCAAAGATGTCCCGAAGGTGTTCAAGACCCAGGCTTTTTAGGAACTGGGTAATGTTCATGTCAAGACCAGAAACTGTAAGAGAAGAAACAAGTCACTATACCTTATGTATCTGCATTAAAAAAAAAATAATAAAAAAAAATCAAGTAGTACCACTGATTCTCTCATGATTCCAAACTCTGATTCTTTTTACAACCCATTTGTCTATGCCTATAATATACAACCCACTTCCACTGTGCAAAAGCTCAGTGCAAAGCTCATCACTGTTCCCTCTTCAGAATCTGCTGTCAGAAAGCACAAATGCTTTCTGGCAGATATAGGCTCATATTGCAAAGAGAAGGAAAGGAAGGGTGGGTACATTTTTGCTAGATGCTGACATAACGCATGCATCCCAGATACTAATCAAAGGATTTTAAAAGCCTTAATAAAATCCCCCAGCCATCACAATCATAAATCCTTCATCAAATTAATTCTCATTGGATTTTCTGTATAAAATCAACAACGAACATCTGGGCACCTAATCAGATCTGCCTTTGTAGTCAGACCTAATCACTGATAGCAAACATAGATGAGCAGCCAACAATGCTCCTGGCAAAGCACATGAAAACAGTGCAAGCCATCAGACACTTTACAAAGCAAATAATGGTTCAAGCTGTACAATATTTTCTGGCTAATCAGAAATACTTTTCAGATAAAGCAAGGCCTGTTGTGATACTAAGCTACTGTACTTATGGTAAGGTAAACTTGTCCAGCAGCAAATGCACCTTCGCCTTCCTTCCTTTCAGTTCCTGCTGCTCCATCGCCAGCATTTGACGCCCCTCCTACGGCTAGTTCTGCCAGCGGCCCAGTGAGGTTATCTATACTGCTGGCAGCGGAGAGGCAGGACGGCGTAGATGCTGGTGAGATCAGGGAGGCACTAACAACAGTAGCTTGAGGCTTAAAGCATGTAGGCAAAGCTTCCGGAGGCATCGCATCTATCAGCAAAGCTCGGATATCATCAGCCTGGAAAACAGAAAGAACATTCAACATGAGGTTCTATTATCACAAGTCATCGATCTCTCCAAAGAATTTTTCTTTGAATTTGTTTTAATTGATTTTTTTTTGATTGAATTTGTTTTAATTGATTGAATTTGTTTTAATTGATTTGTTTTGAATTGATTGAAATTGATTGAATTTGTTTTAATTGATTTGTTTTAATTGATTGCTCTGCTCCCTCATTAAAAAGAAAAGCGCCAACTTTCGTAACATGGGAATTCATGGTTGCAAGAACATTCTGAATTGCTGCTCAGACAGTGAATCAGGATCTCCCCATTTCTAATTGTATGTAAGAAGGTGCATCTAATTTCCTTTCTTGCAGAATGATTTTATAGGTGTTAAAGCCAGGAAGAGCAATGCAGCAACTTTATCTGAATTCCTTCAAAGCCTAGGCCAAGCAATGTCACCTCGTAATTTCTCTGTCAGGCTCAACTTCTGGTCAAGCATTGTGAACTTGATCAAGGTTCCAATGGAAAGGCTCTACCATTGCCTTTGCTATAATCACATCTTACAGTGTTAAAATAGAAGAAAAAAACCACAGAAACTACAGGAGAAGTATGAACTTAGCTAGCAATTGGATTTAGCCTTTCTTGATTAAATTAAGCAGGACCCTCATCTTCAAGAATTTCCTCCTTGCATGTTGTTGGAGAACATGATTAAGACATTCTTATTTTCCTCCCACAGAAATCAAATAGTTTTAGGATCTCTCATCACAAACCAAGTTTTCCAGGGCTCAGATTATTCTAGAGAATACTCTCCACAAATCAATCAATGGTCTTAAAAGATACTCACACCATAACCAGATACAGCATCTTATTTGGTTGTATTATCTATTCCATCAAGACTGGGTAACCTGGGACATACATGTTCATGGGATCTTATTAGGCTTTTTAACCTGCTGCCACTGCCATCACTAACCAGAAAGTTTCAGGTGCCAGTTTTAGAAAAAAGGTGCAATTTAGAAAAAATTGGGGACATTTCACATAGGTTTATTTCTGGCAATGAGAAGATTGATCCCAGGAGTAAATCCTTAAGCAGAAGCAAACCTTAAATCACAAGCCACTTTAAGATCGCAGCCAAAGGAAAAAGCCTGAACCCATGGATAAAAGGTCAAAGAGGCACCCTGGAGATGCCCACCTCTCTCTACCTCAGCACAGCATAAGCTGAGGACCACTGATGCCACGGAGCCACAGAAAGCCATTTAATATGCAGAGCAAATCCTTCAGAGCAGCCTGTGGCTGGCACGCCGGCGTGAACTTACTGTTGCCAGGTCTAGTGGTGTCTGACCCTCCTGATTCTTCATGGTTGGATCTGCTCCATGAGCTAACAGCAGGGCACAGAGCTGTGTCCTTCCTTTTTGTGCAGCTTCGTGCAATGGTGTGAATGCCCATTTATCTGTTGCATTTACACATGTATTGTATTTGATCAACAGTGCTGCTATATCCACATGCTGGAAAAGACAATAACATCTTAATCAACCTGACACTGGTAAAAAACGTACTTACTTTTTTGTGCTAGAGGTAATGGTGCTTAGAGGTCCCTGTAATTTCTCCTTCCTCTCTCTAACTCACTTCTCAACCTCCTGTGTCTACGCAGCAGTACACCTCTTCAGGTACTACTCTATACTGCAGCTCCACAGTCACTAAATCTGTATCTGTGCACCACCAGATCATCCACCAGCACATATAATAGGGATCCAACACAGAACTATATTTCTGTCAAATCACCCAAAGTACATAGCATGAAGTTTGTGCCAGTTGCATAAGCAGACAAGATACTTGATCCAGCATAAAACTGGTAAGAGTTAACTGTCAAAGTATTTGTAGACACATTTGAACTGGCAACACAAATTTACAGGGCTGCAACATTTGTGATACAAAAGCTCTAAAGATCAAGGTGTTGTACTGCTGAGCCACCTCTTAAATGTCTGTACACAGAAGTCTTAGTTGTACTTTATTTCTTTCTTGTGATTTCTTGCAAGACTTTGAACCCATTCATGGCAGCACAAATTTATTCTTTCTCCAATCATATTTTATGAGAGAACTGTAACTGATAGAATGCATTATAGTGTCATAAGAGACAACTGCTTTACATGGGCTATAAAAGTAACGATCTTACAGCCCCACGCTTCTATCAATATCCCATCCTCGAAGTCTCCCAAGTTAAAATAAGAGAGTAGAAAATGGGCAAATAAAATTTTTGGCTGCCTCTGATCAGTAAAATTACTTGTGTGATACAGCTAAGAAATTAAAAAGCCGGTAGTCAAAACAAGTAGGTAGGAGTGTGAAACACTGAAATTGTAAGCAGAAGCACGAAGACTTGCCAATGGATTTCACTCTTCCTCTTAATGGCAATTAAGTGACTCTCAGCAGCTCTCACAAATGGGCTTGCTCTCGAATAAGCATGGATTGAAAAGACTGTTGACCTTACTTTTCTCTCTTCCACATTTTTAAAGCAATTGCTGTTCCTGTGACTTTTCTGCTATTCTGCCACATGAAACCCGACATGACACATAGCATGAAGTGCTGGGTGGGAGAACTGAAGATACTTTGAGAGGAAAAGATTGAGCCTGTGAAACCTGTCAGCAATGAACTTAGGAAACCAGTACTCATCTCCCCTCTACCTCCCATCACAGAGATCTGAACAGCCTGACGACAGCTCAGAGAGAAGTGTGGGCCGCCACAGGAAAGGTACACAGCAACTCTTAACCAAATAAACTGATGGAAAAGCACCAAACACTGCCTCATTAACTTTTCCTAGAGAAAGTAAGGCAACCACATTACATTGGCATTATGATTTTCAGAAGTGATAATCAGCTTGAACCAGTCTCTAGCAGTGCCAGTAAGGAAACTTTTGCCTGCGGAAAATGTGCGTTTTGGTTTCCTGTGCTTGAAAAGAAAGAACACAATCTTTGCAACAGAATGTATCTCTAGATCTAAGCAGTGTCCTGGGAAATTAATGCTTAGGGCAGATGCTGATGAACAGTACTGCTTGGTATTAGGATCCAGTATCACCAAAGAATTCTGTGTTGCATTTCTAAACATTAAGATAGAGAACCAATGCAAGTGATGCAGCCTGAGTTTCATTGATACTCTTTCCTTAAAAACAACGTGAACACTGTACTTTTTATTTCATTTGGCTCTCAAACGAAAGCAATCATGGTTCTATTACAATCATCTCTCTCAGATTTTGCTCTTTTTGTGCCAGAGCCAGGAAGTAACAGACAAAGCATATCATGAGACCATCAAAAACACTGCTTCTTGAGCTTCATCTCCTCTGTCTGACCATAAGCACACTGCTGGGAGCTTCTCAAGCACTGTTTCTGTGCAATTATTTCTCACCTCATCCACAATTAACAGCTGCCTATAAGCAATCTATCAGGCATCTGTAAAACTGGTATGCACACAGATGCTTCCTCTCATACGGAGGAAGGAGGGCCTGCCTCATCCAAACTGGTTTGAATCAGCCACTGCAGCCGCACTGCAGTAGACAGCTTGCTCAGGAGGACACCCGTACTATAAACTCAGTAGCCCTTCAACACTTCAGCTTTAGCAACAGCCCCCCAACAGAGACCAGCTGTAAAAGACCTCCACTTCCCTGTCATCACCTAGACACGATGTCCTGGTATAGTTCTCTTCCTTCCATCCAAGTCTTTCAGTGACAACTTGAGGTCTTTACTGTTTCAACAGTCGCCCCAAATTTAACACTGTTCGATGTTGTGCATCTGCTTCCCTGCATAAAAGGGATCTTTCTAGTGAAGAAAGATCTAGTGAACTTTCCAAACTGCAGCCTTTAACTGCTACAGCATACCTGAACCTGTGTCTTATTTAGATCTGTAGGACTGCAACAACAACTTAGCCCACCAAGTATTTCATGCCATCAAAACCTGAACTATGTTCACAGCAAGGCAGCTGCAAAATAACTGGCTTTGGATATGACTTTAAGGAGTTCCTTCTTGTTCTACTCACAGCAAGAATACCTGCACCTACCCCATAGGATGCTGCATTGTGTAAGGGGATTAATCCTCCTTTGTCCTGGGCATTAACATCAGCACCATGCTCAAGAAGGTATTCAGCTACTTCCAAATTGTTGTAGCCAGCTGTAGAAAAGGCACAGGAAAAGAAAACGGGTATTAGGAGAGCTAAACTAAAGATAAATAATTAGACAGAAAAGCTAAAGCAAATTTTTTACTGCAAAAGCTCCTTTTCCCTAGTAACTGTATTACCTCCTGAAATACAACTGCCAGAGTTAACAACTTTCTGCACAGGATAATGCTCTGTGAAACTCTTACTATACCAATCCTGGTTTGGGTGATTAACCTCTGTAGCCCTATCGTAAATATACAAACCTTCAAAACCTGCTGAGTCACCCACCTGCAAGATGTAGTGGTGTTGAATTTCTTCCCTGGGTGTCTCTGCAATTGATATTTTCTTGAGTACACAGCTTCTGCACTCGTGCCAGGCACCCCTTCTTGGCAGCATCTAGCAAGGCAGCATCTCCTCGCAGTAAGTCCTGGATATCTGTGTCTCCTTCTTTCACCAAATCTAGAGGAGTGTTCCCATCTCGATTCTTTTTTGTCGGATCAGCTCCATGCTGTAAAAAGCAAAGTGGAATGCTACTGTCACAACCATGAGTAGAGCAGTGCACATAAGCGTGGCACAGGATAGGAGGCAGGGGATTTTGCCGACCTGCCATCATGAAGTAACAACTGTATAGATTAGTAGACACATGAGAATAAACCCAGGAGGCTGAGGCCTAAAGCACGAGTCCGCAGCACAGCTGTGTGAATCTCAACTCCATAGGCAAGAATGACAGCCCTCTGCGAGATCTGCCACTGCTCTACTTGCAACTGAAGTAGGTTCAGGAGCACGTGCCGCATAGAGCTACACCCTACTGTCACAGCAGACACTAAAGACAAACCAGCTGCAAATACCTTGCCAGCCAATCCTCCCTTTCTCCTGCAAACTGGCTGGCAGAGGTGTTCCCTCAGCACACTTTCCTGAGCTAGTGAAGCCAGGCACCGAGTTTCACTAAATGCCACCCTGCTACTGAAAGGCACTTGTTTCAGGAGAAAAAGAGAAGAAAAGTATTCATTTCTACACTTTCCAACAGATAACAGCACTGTCTTAAGCCATTTACAGGTCCTGGAAAGCTGTGAAGAAAACGTTTTGGTGGGGAAGTGGATTTGGATGACTGCTGGAGTATATCTGTGCTGGTAGAACATGCAGATCAGTCAGTGGTAAGGACAGAGTACTGGAGCACGAGTCAAGTAGGGGAAAATATATCTACATGCAGCATATGGTGTGAGTCATGTTCACATACAATTCTGTGGGAGGACAGCTCCTTCCCTGTTCACTCTCAGCAGCAGTGGGGAAAAACAAAGATAGATAAGGCAGAGGCAGCTGCTGGCACTATAGTTCTCTGGCTGGTCCCTTTAGAATAATCAAACACAGTGCTCCAACCCCTGCCAGCAAGCTTACCCTGCCATTTCTCACGGAGGATGCCGGCAAAGTTGTGTTAGTGTGAGTCACAGGGAATGAGCTGGGAATGGGGCGATGAGCAGGAATTAACTTTCTTGTATTTGGAAGCAGTACAGCAATGCTCAGGGTGTAAAGGGTAAACAGCAAGGGACAGAGTATTGATTACACAGAACTATTTCCACATCTGTGGTGCTTTTGGGAAGAGAACATTCTTTGCACAAAGCCCTTTAAACTGCAATGACTTCTCCAAGATACGACCTTAGATCCCTTAATTTAAAACTCATCAAAACTGGAACTATCCAAATATTCTCCAGAATAAATATCTAAATGAAGAGGCAGTGTCTTCTGAGACCCCTTCAAAGGAATAGAAACAAATGAAGGTGGTAATTTTGAAGAAAAGGTGATGGAAAAAAAAGTCTCTCCAAAATGCCTGTACATTTTTGTTTCCTTCTTCAAGCAGACCAGGACAGAAAGAGTGCAGGTCAGGAGGAGTCAAGCTGAACATCCATGGCTCATCAGAACTGCCAGCGCTGCCAGCTGGCTTAAGGGACACAGCAGGAGAAGCCCTGAGCAAACTGCAGCATGAGTGCATATCCACAGACAGCCAGAGCCTTTACAAAACTGTGAGAAAGATTTCAGCACTTTTCTATTTCCTGTCGTACATCCATTCAGGATCCTTTGAACACAAAAAATGGCTACATTCTTACATGATCAGAAAACTCCAGAGACCGCTGGTGTCTATAAAGTAAAGCTGTGCTTGATGGATTATGAGTGCTCCTATAGCCTGAGCCAACATCTGTATTCAGGTGCTACTACCAGGGCCATCATTTTGCCTACTCCACAAACACCTCTGAATATCTTCTGGTTTCTACTGCAGATGTATTTCAAACTGATGTGCTACCCCCCCGAATCCTTTTTTGGTAATCAAGTGAAATAATTAATGACATAGGAGAGAAATTGCAGGGCTTTGAAGCAGCAAATGAAAAGAAGAAGTGGACAGGGAAGAGTGTCATCATTTTAAGACTATCCATATTCTGACTTACTCCTATTTCAAAAGCTGTGCTTCAGAGGGACGTCAGGCAAGGCTGAAACAGAAAACAGGACTGGCAAAAAATTCTACTCCAGCACCCTCTTTCACCCTCCCACAGCAGGGTAAGACCTTATGTTAAGAAGACTCTCAAATTTGTTATTTCTCACTGGAAACATGCTGGCATTTCCTCATGCTTTTTACAGGTTCTTCCACTAATTATAATGAATATTTATTCCACAGTATATTAATATCCATTTCCTCCAGGAGCCTGATAAATTATACATTAACATTAGAGTTTTAAGCTTCTCATATGCCAGACACCATTTAGGATACATCTCCAGTTATTGCTCTGTAACACACTCTTGTGTAAGTACTTACAAAGGTTTACTTAACTGCAGTAACTGTTCCAGAAAGGGGTGAATCAGGTAAGATGGGGGTTTTTTTTGTGTTTTTACACAAAGTAGCTGCTTTGTCCAGTTTGATAGTTTTGTTCTACTTGTCTAACAGTATCAATACATCTACCGGAAAAAGCAATTGTACTAATGATTCTTCATAAGTGAACTGACATTACCCAAGAAACCATCTGACAACTGTAAGATGAAAATAGATTCAAAGACACCACAAAGAACTCACTGAATGCAATTAACTTTGCATTAACTAATTAATCTTCAGCAAAAATAAACACATACACATTTAAAGACACATCTGAGAACTCCAGCACATACTTTTAAAAGCAGTTTGCAGATTTCGTATTTTCCTTTTGCTGCTGCTTCATGTAGAGGAGTGAATTTCCACAGGTCTGCCACATTGACAGAAGCACCGTGCCTCACCAAGAGTTCAGCCACTTCGTAGTGTCCGTAAGAACAGGCATTGTGCAGGGGTACTAAACCACTAATCAAAGAGAAATTGTTAATAGCTATAGAAAATAAAAAATCAATATGCAATCATACAAAGTTCCAGTAGATAAAACTCCCACTTCCACCAGACATTATTGGTATCTCTCAATCTTTCCAATATTCATGGCTTTATTTCTCTGCTATAAAAAAAAAAAAAAAAAATCAATTAAAACTTCATTATCCTCCTCCAGTTCTCATCCATGAGACTTAAATACTTAGCAAGCACCAATGTTACTACTTCCACAAGCAAGTAACTTCAGTGCTGTTAACAACAGGCAAAAACCAAATTGCAAGAATCACTGATGTTCTGACTTTGGAGGGTTGAGTGTACATTTCAGAAAACGTGTAACAGTACACAACAGATTTGAAATAGAGTTTTAGTAAGCACTGCACACCTGATAGATACAGAAAGATAGCCAAACATTTCTTTCAGAGAGAGGCTGAATATTCTGTATGGGAAATGAATTATCCTGCACCCTGAACCAATATACTGGAGTGAAAGATGAAACTTAGTCATTCTATTCTACATGATTGCTTTGCAAATAATGCAAAAACCTGTAAATGGTTCATACCATTTAACTGAACATTAACTGCATAAATAACTAAATAATAAAAGCTAACTAACAGCAACAGAAAAATGACCAGAGATAACCCTGGTATTTTACCCCATGTAATTAAAAACTCATTTTAGATCACCTGAAATAACTTAAATGCTGCTTTTAAGCAGAACAAAGTCTCCAAAATGGGCAAAAGGGGGAAGAGAAGAATCATGTATTACAGTGCCAGATATGTACTTGACAACAGCTTTGCCAGAAAGCTAAGTATGCCTTAATGGTCTATAAATCTCCCTACAGTGATGTCAGGAACAATGCGGAACAAGAAGAAAGAACAGAGAAAAATTTCCAAGAGGAAAACATGATGGTTACTGAAATCTAAAGCAAAATGAATAGAGGAGGGTAGGAGTCTCACACTAATCGAAAACGGCAGAGCATATCATGGAATGAAATGTACCCTTTATCTTTGGCATGCACATCTGCCCCATGGTGCAACAGATACTCCACCACTGATACGCGGTTGTATCCTGCAGCAAAGTGCAGTGGCGTTGAATGACGGCCTTCCAAATCTCTACAATTCACATTCTGAGGGCTGCAAAGTTGCTGCAAAGACAAAAGAACCACCCAAAATCTAGTACAGAACTAAAAAAAATAAAAAAAACCCACAAAACAAACAAAAAACAGTCAAACAAACAAACAAAATCCCTAAAAGAAAAACCCCAAACTACCACCCCCAAACACCTCAAGACAAAATTTGATCCATTTATTATTATTATGTACAAATTTTTAGAATTTAGGTTTCAGGAAATTTCTTTCCACTTAGGCAAAGTTAAAAAAATATCTGATCTAAATTGATGGCTGAAAGTACTTCTATAATAAACAAGACTTAAATGATGGAAGCAGTATAAAGACATTCCTAATGTATTAGAAAGGGTGAGACAAAATCATCAAACACCAGGTTCCAGGCCATGTAACTTGCTCCAGCCATGTTACCATTTCCAGCTTATGTTGTCTTCAGAAATCTAGAAATACTGAGTTTAGCAGTCAAAGGAGCTGCTGGTGCACAAAACTACTGCTGATTGTATATCAATATGTATCACGTTGAAGTTCAAGGTGAGAACGCATGCAGAACGGTCTATTTGCAGGCTGTTTTGCCCACAGACCAAGCATGAAAGACAAGATCAAACCTTCCTGTGATGCTGGGATTCCATGGCCTGACCCTTCACCTTCAGATTAAGGATGGCGTAAAATGTAAAGTCTGCTGCTTGTTAACACTTTTATTTTTTGCCTTCTGATTGAATCATGCACCCGAGGCTTGCTTCTACTAAACTGATTCTGAGGATCACAGGGTCCACTTCAAAGAATTATGGCTGCATCTGAAACACTGCATCTGAGTCCATCAAAGACATGACTGTATGAAGGACTGGGAGAACAAACGAACAAAAACTCAAGAGAAACACCTCAGCCCAGTTTAATGCATTACTTTCAAAAAACAAAAAATTTTGCCTTTGTATGATTTACCATCCACAACTGAGGCTTCCACAAGCCTTGCACAGTAATACAAAATGAAAAATTAACACGAATTGCTCAAACCTACCTTCACAGTTTCCAAGTCTCCAGCTTTGGATGCTTCTAACAACCGATAATCCACATCAGATGTGCGCACAGGCGTACTTTCTACATAGGGAAAAATATGTTTTAGGATTACTTAGCATCATTAAATTATATTAAGTTGTGCTCAACGTATTTTCCAAATGTCGGGGCGGAAGTCTGTTGACATTTGTAAAAATGCAGCTGGAGTTGTGATGTTGAAGTTCATATTGCCTAGACAGCTGCATAGGAGCCTTACTTTCAGTGTAAACCAGTCAATTTAGACTCCAGAGCTGACATTATTCTGCCAAATGGAATTTCACTGCTTTGCTAATCCTGTGTATGGTAAAAATGATCATTTCTACATTCAGGAAATCTACATGCTCACTGGCACAGATTCAAAGTTTTGCTGAAGATCAAAAGCACCTTTCTCAACAATTTCAGCAAACTGCATGAGATGCCTGTGCACAGCCAGGGTTAAAGGTGCTCAATTCAGCACCTGAATTACAGCCTTTGCACTCTGTACTTGTGATACGTCTTGTACTACGCAGCAGTGACAAGGGGATGGGATTTCTACGATGGCTCTGCCCACATGGTGACTGCCTGCCTTATGATGCTCTAGTTGTGTACTGCACTCCATAGCAACAACAAGATCTGGCCCTTGTTATAAACATGGGGTGGTTAAAAATAAAATCAGAAGAATGACACAGTGACTAAAGGGAGACCTTTAGACACATACCTTTTTTTCTTCTTTAAATGACTGTAAGACAATGACAGGTTTTGGCCTCAAAACTCTTTTTTACCCTACTTCTCATTAGAAATACAGCTGTGAGAAAGCAAGCATGCACTGAGGGACGAGGAAGAAGTAGCTGTAAAGGAGCAGTGGATTAGCTGTCTGTAGAGTTCTTCAGTGCTGCTCAAAAAGGAGCTGAAAAAATGATTTTCATTATTTCTAACAGAAACTACTTTCTATTGTAGAAGCCATTCCTCTCAAGCTCAAGGATTTATGGAATAGAAGTTTTGGCAGCGCATTGCCTGATCAGCAACAGAAATGACTGCCTAGTGTAAAACAAATGGGGCAAGGTGAACTTGGGGTTGCAATCCTCTGTAAGCATACTGTAAGAAAGTCAGAGTGCTCTAACAGGCTAAACTCATTCTAGATGGGCATGCAACTCCATCAAAAATACTTAAAAGACTTTTTTAAATGTTGAGAACTGGTACTATGTTCTGAGATGAAACTGCAGAGAGGTTGTGAGAAGGAACGTCTTACAGACTAACACAGTCTCTGCAGGATCCAGTCAATTCCTGACTTTGCAATGTAATCTCTGACTATATCACAGGACTGGGAAATGGGCAGAAAGAGATACTTGTTTTCTTAACTAGTCATTCTTACAGAAGGACATCAACTTATCAGTTCACTTTGATGTAGTATTTCCTCTTGCAGCCCTATTTTCTCTTCTTGATTAGTGTTTTGTTGCCTTTTGCTACCCCCTTGCCTCCATACTCACTGCAGGAAGAACAGGAGGAGGAAGCAAGAAGCAACTCCTACAAGCTCAACTGTTAGGTGAAGAAATGCTCTCAGTTGAAGGAAAGGCCTCAGGGAAGAGCTGCCAGCTCCATTCCTCAACTCTACCTCCATCCTCTGGAGCAGTTCCACTAGCAAGCAGTTGGACTCATTGATCTTCAAGGTCTTTTCCAACCAAAATGATTCTACGATTCTACGTGATTCAAACATATGCTGCAAGAGTAGGATGGCAGCACGGGTTTGACACAAATGTTAGCGACTGTGGGCAGAGCATAGCATGCAGGTTAAGACTTCAGCTCACACCTTCTTCTTCATAAGTTATCTGTCTTCCCTTGCTCTCCCCAACAGCACCACCATCTCAGCGTTCTGAGGTAAGGAGAGAATAGATGAGGCTAAGTCCTATAGTGGATCCAAAGCTCTGCTCCTTTGCAGTTGTTTATCTCATCTCTGGACTCCTGTCCTTGTCTGCACAAGATGGCCAAGACCCTGACTTTGGGCAGGGTGAAAAAGGAAATCAATCAGAAACACAATCTAATTACTACAGGAAAGAGAAATTTCAATTCGACTAGATTAGCACTTGAGTACCAAAAGGTTACACTGAGCAAAGAAACAAAACACATCTTATTCTTCAACAAAAGCAAAGCCAGCACCGTTTTCTAATAAGCATTTGAAAAAATTAACAAGCTCACTTGACGAGCTTTCTTGTATTACGTGGCGATACTCCTACCAGCTGCAACCAAAATCACAAGCAGCTACAGTAAAGTTGTAGCCACCGGCCACTACGCCATCAGGAAGCTGTTTTCATGGTTGTTCTCTCACAGCTGGGATGTAGCTCAGCAATCACATGTGAGAAAAAAAATCCAATACTATACGGAGAAACATTATAAGCTCTGAACTCATGAGTCGGGTAACAATCTCTATCAAAACAACTCCAACTTTAAAAAAAATATTTCCTTAACCCAATCTTACAAAAATGAACACACAGTACCTACAGAACCCTACACTACATGCATTATTTCAGCTTTTGAATCTTTCAGTCTTGAACACCTTCATGGATATAAAAGAAAGGCTGCTACCTCTCCAATGAAAAGCAGTACAGAACGACATCTGAAATTAGTTTTCCTAGAAAAGGCAAATCAGTGAAAATGAATTTTTAATTCAAAATCAAATGAGTGTTTTCAAAATACTTGTTAGTTTACTGTTTTTTTAAATCAAACTCCTATTCTCTTTAACAGCAGGGAATATGTTTACTTTCTTATGATTCACAGCTAACATCCTTCTCTCCCAATACACATGCATAGTCACGCGCATACTTTGAACAGCTAATGCCACCCGTGTAACCAGCTATGTCTCAGGAGTGGGTACACTTGAATAAAAGTCCTTCCGTGCACTCCGATAAAATGTCTCTTATTTTGCCTGTTTTAAGGAAACATTGTTGATAACACCGAAGGAAATGAAGTTTATAGCTACAATGGGACTTCTCGTCTACCTGGATATCTGCCTTTCTCTGACTACATGCTTATCCCACTCTAAGGTAAGTTACCTGCTCTGTAGTAGCTACCGATGCAATTATTCTTCTCCCTACTTGCAAAAATTTGAAAGTGACATGGATAAGAGGATACAAACTCCCCAGCACTTACATGAAAAATAGCAGCACCCTTTTCAAAGATCTACCTACCTTTTTAATGCATGATACAAACACATTACTATCTAAACTGTATCAAGAGTACTTTCACAATAAAACCTTTCTCTGCTGGACAAGCAAGAGATTTGAAGTTCAGATGATTTAGCAACTATCAGTATTTTTCTACCAGTAACACTCTGCTTGTGACTGCTAAAGTATGGAGTACCTAACAGGGTGGCTGATGAGAGGAAAAAGGTTTCTCATGTGTTTAGCAGTATTCCAGTTGCCTTGGAACTTGTTACCAAAGAAACCCAAAACTCCCTGCATCCGCCTTCCTACAATCTCCCTGCACAGCGGCATCCTCTAAATCCATCAGATGTTTATTTTCTTCCCAATTTGCACAAAATCACTGAATTGAGCAGGGCTTTTTGATTTTGTTGTCTTTTCTTCTGAAAAGTATCGTGCAGTACATACTGTAGATGTGTACAGACGATGGCAGAAGGGAAGAATGAGAAAACTACTGCAAGTCTCTTGCATTGCAAAGGAAATAAGACCCACAGCTGTAAAGGAAAGGGAGAAGCTGAAGTCCAAATACACAAGACTTCGTTTTTACCCACCACTCAGAATCTGTTGCACTGCTTCATTTCCCATCTGTGCTGCTGTGAAGCCTTGTAAAGAGATGATGGAGGGATCAGAGCCATAATTCAGCAAGAGCCGGCAGGTTTGCAAGTGGCCTGCTAATGCAGCCCTGTGCAACGCTGTTTGACCAAGTGTGTCCAGTGCATTCATCTGAAAAATCAGCAGCAATATAAAACATTGTAATAATTAAAAGCCTGCATCTGTCCCTGCTCTTAATATGAAGAGCAATAACAGGAATTTTCCATCATACACATTTATCTATCAGTCCCTCTTCATCGCAACTAAACAAAACCCAATTACAAAATAGGTAAACATTCAAATGTAAAGATAATTTACCGCAGATGCTTTCCTGTCTTCTAACAACACAGGTTATTTGCTTGCATGGCTAACAGACAATGCAGGATATCCAAAACCATACTTAAAATAGTAAGCTTTCGACAAATTTGATGAAGATCTACCTTGTGCAAGAAAAGCAAAACTCTCATAGCAGAGGAGAAAGAGGTAAATAATTGAGCAAACAATCCAAAGATCTTCCAGCTTTAAGGAAATTACCATCTGTCATCCTTGGAAGGGGAATTAACATTACTCACTATCAAGAATTAAGGTGCAAAGACGTGGCATAAAAAAAAAATCCTTTTCATGCTCATTTTTTGTACTTTTACAGAAATATTAAGTATAACTGGATATAATTCTACCCAATACAAGATTGTATAAACAGGTGAAACAAAGTATTGCTTTCAAAGAGTATGATATAATGGAAGCCTATCTGTCTGTCAAGATCTAACAGAGTATCTAAACAACTGGAAGCATCTCCATGGGTTCACTATCAGAGAAAGGGAAAGAATAATAGAGAGCTCCAAAAAGCAGAAAAAAGCCCCTCATGAAAATAACCTTTCAAGAAGATACTTTGTACCTAGCAGTGATTCATGACAAGTTTAAATGCAAATGTCCAACAGCTTTTTTATCACTTTATGAAATACAGAACTACTCTATATTCCCTGCAAGCAGCTCACAACCTGTTATCTGTTTCCAAGCCTACAGATTGCAGGCTGCGAACTGCAAGCATAATAGACTCTGTTACTGTACAAAACCACCTTTTTACCTTCTCTAAATCTTTGTGATGGCGGTGAACAAAGGTTTTGCTTGTTATTTCTCATCTAAAATGTAGCCTGCAAATCCTACTAACTTTCTGTGAAAACTAGAGAAAAAAATATTTTGGGTAAATTTCATATTCTGTAACTAAATTAAATTTAATTAGAGGGGTAACTATGTAGAAAATACCTACTACCGACTGGGTAAAAAAATAAAGTATCTGCAGTACAATGTCAAGCCATAGGAAAGAACAAAGAACTACCACGTAAATAAAGCAGAGTGTGATTCGATACTGTCTGAAATTCTGCTATACGCCTGAACAATTCTATAGGCTAGTAAAGCAGGAATTTCTCAGATCACAAACCTCTCTTGCAGGAAGATGTACAGGAGAACTTCTGCTTTCTTCTAACCGTGCTCAGCTCATGCCATTCCAATGAGATTTCCCTAAAAGTTTTGTTTTAAATAAAAACTTACTGCTATCATAAATATTAACTAGATGCTGGATGTCCCAAATCCATCATTTTGTTCAGACGATGATCCTCATCTGTTTCAGGACACCGGATACCTTTCACCACTGATAAGGGGATAGAGAAAAGCAGAAGTCTGGGGCTGTACAGGTTTAGTGATGGTAAAGGTAGAATGAAATGAGACTTGTGGATTCTGGAAGTAGCTGATAACACTGTGTTCACTCAAGAAAGAGAATTATAATTAACATCTTCTATAACACTGAATTCCTGTGTTAAACATTCTTGTACTGAACAAATTGTTGAAGAACAGCAAGGCATTCACACTGTACAACTCATTACTGACTGCGTACCTGGAAAAAATGTTAATATTCATTTGAAAAGAACACTGGCAGAGTCATCAGATCCATCATCTCACATGTCGTATGCAGGTCTCCTTTCACCTCCAAATAATTATCTTTGCCAACAATCAATTCTTTTGGCAGAAGAATGCCAGCCATTTGAAGAAATGCCTGCTTACTTATGGGACAAAGAGAGCTCCAGCTGACAGAGGGATGCATGCACCAGATGAAGCTGTTCTTTCCCTCAGGAGCAGAATTAGGCTTTGCAGGGCAGTTTCATGGGGAGATACATTCACTTTGAGGCAGACCTGCTCTCGTCAATCATACAGCACTTGTCTAAAACCAACCCAAGAATGTACTGCGCTAACGCTGAAGGCAACAGGATTTATTTCCAAATGAAAATCCATTTCAGCATTACAAATCAAAATACAAACTAAGACATACGCTTGCCCAATGCTACATCTAAAATCATGCCCTTTCAAATTCAAAGATAAAGTTTAAATGCTATTTGAAAAAATGCAAAATATCTAAGGTGTACTGCCTTATTTGTGTGCTGAGTAGGCAGATTGTTCCAGCTGCACTAATAAAAAAATAACAAATATTCAACCGGTCCCATTTATAAGCAGTCTGAAATTAGAAGGCTGCAGCTCTGAATTACTTTACCAATGAGTTTTATGCAAGAAGTTAAAAGTGACAGATTTGACAGCTTTTATTCAACAGCACACTGGCTCTGGATCTGGTTTTTTTTCCCATTTTAGCATAAAAATAGTCACTCCACTGCCCAAACTGCAACATAAAAGCCGAACACATTTATCAAATGGAAAGCGTCAAGTTTAAGTAAGGCTTTTCATGGATAGATATCATCCTATATAGTATTTCCTGCTGCAGAATTCCTTCTCTTCTTTCCTTTTATCCCTTTCATTTCCTCTTCCCCATCCCAGACGTACAGAGAAATCAAAATGGTCGTGTGTCATCAGACACCGAGAAGATTCTTCCTCCCTGCACTGCTGCTGTCTCGGCGCAGCATACACAGCTACAGCAACATTCCCCTGGCTGCCAGGCACCTGTGGCAGCACAACAGCTGGGATCTGCTCAGGAAACACAGACATCATAAGCATATCAGCTTTCTGTTGGTATCAAATGCCCTAAATATCCTACGACTCCTTGACACTAAAGCATCATAAAATGCGACAGCTTCCAAGCACTGCGATTTTCTCTGTGAGATCTTTCTAAGAGATGTACATTCTAAAAATCACACGTGAAACTCGTGCTCTGCCAGCCGTTCTAGTATCAGGGTATCCGTCCCTGTACAATGTAAGCGTTCTAACTGCTCTCCTGCTGTATTTATTCTGAACGCAACCTTGTGTCTTTGTGCATCACTAACAATAAACAAGATAGGAGTGGAGAGAGGCTGGTGGCAATTTCAAGCTCTGTGAGAAGAAAAAAAATGAAGAAAAAAAAAAAAAGAGGTCTAGTTTCACTCTGAAAGCTCCTAAATGATCCAGCCATATGTTCCATCGTTGTCCCTTTGCATGAAAGCTTAAGATTAATGTCACTAGGTCTGGATGTCTAAGCAGTGAGAAAAGTTGAACCACACAATAACAACAGATCACAGAGCTCTTCATGTTGTTAACCATTGCAGTCCAGAACCTGCTGCATTTCTGAAAGAAAATTTAGTTTTTCAATACTTATTATTTCCTGAGAAAAATCATACTTCTACCTGAAATGTTGGAAGCAAATGTATCACGCAACAAGGTTATTCAAAACCATTTAATTCTGTTGTGTGGGTCTAGATAGAGGTGACCGTTGTCAAATCCAAGATCATGAAAGGCTGACAACATGCAACTCCAACACACTGAAATAATCATATTATGCAATGATTCATAAAGCCAGGTCCTTTCTAGCAGAGCAGAATGAAGCCATTTCTGCTACCATCATGAATAGGGACACCATCTGTCTTAACATGACCTTCGAAAGGCTCATTTTCTCTTGCAGAAGAATAGTTTCAATGTTATCCTTTAGAAACGTAACACAGTTAAACAAATAGCATTCATAACTTCTCCACACTTGCCCAAGATACCAGTGAACTTGCACGCTTGCAGGTCTTTCTTTCCAACAATCATTCCAGTTCAGAAAAGACATTAATCCTTTTCTTCTGCACTGCTAGAAAGCAGAATGCCTTTCTGAACATATTAAATTTCCCATGTATCTGTAAATTCAGACAAGGAGCTAGTTATAAGAGGTATCCAACTGTCTAGCAATACAACAAAACAGGATGAAAGCCACTTTTTCATCAGTTCACAACCTTCAAATTATTTTCTTTTTACACAAAGGATTTCAACGATCTTCAAAGATACAATCGTGGCGCTTGAAGATTTGCTCATGGGTGTAATAAAAAAATAGTTTATGTTTGAGAATTCTTTAAAGATTCTTTGCTTTTAATTTTCATAAGGTACTTTGAGGATATTCCACATCAAATAAGCAGTGGTGTGAAATGCTGTTTCATGCTGCAGTTCAGGCAAACAAGTAAAAACTGGGTATGGTATTCAAAACCACAGACATCTATGGTCAACATTCTTGAAGAAAATCCTACGAAACCCCAAGGTTTCTCACCTGTGCTTTAGACGTACAATTGACAGTCAACTTCTGCAAACTCAAGTAACAAGCTAATGAGAATATCTTCACTGAACATGGAATGGGCATTGCTTAGACATACCATGCTGATGTGCAAGTGATGTGCACCAAGGACTTCTTCGCGGTTCAAATTACAAATGTAGTCTGTGGCCTCAGTAAGGGCCAGCAAGACACAACAAATAAGCAATTTGTGGGTATAGGTTGACTCTTGGCAATATTAGTGTTCTTACAAGCATTTCTGTAAAATAAGTCTAGATCAAGCACATATTATTCAAGCAGTCCTTCACTTTTTATTATGTCTGACATACTTCACATGGAAAATTTACACAGTAATAAAATTAAGGATAATTAAATCCAGTTCCAAGACCACGAACCATCTCTTGTTCATCCAAAACAAATTCCCTAAAGCAGTCTTTACCATGCTTCAGCCCATTTCCCAGGCATACACACTTCACATTATCTCACTTTTGCTGACACAGATGACAGCCGCTCCTCTTGAAAACAGCAGTTTCTTCTCTATTGCTAAAACAATCACAAATTACTTTCTATCTACAAAACTTTACCTTTCTTTTTGCCTCCTAAATCCATTACTGGGTGTTTTTTCATGGATCAGCTGTCTGCCTTTTGGCACTGTATTTCAGAAGAAGACAGTTTCACTTTCTTTGAAGCCCCAGTTACTCACCTTTTTCAAACTGTTACCTTCTCTACAATCAGTAGTGGTTTCCAGAAGGTAGATTAAAGCTGACTTTTATAGTACCTTTCCTTTGATGGAAGAAATCGTTGCAAAGTAAAGATCATCCAACCACACTGCAGTAAGCATTTGATACGGGATCACACAGGAACTGAACGTATTGAAAGTGGGGGGGCTGCTCAGTGATTGGTTGTGGGATAATTTTAATATTTTCATTAATGATCTTGGCACAGGAGAACGTTGAAGGGCACGAATATGAAAAAAATCAAGATTCTCTGTTTACTACAAGACTACAGGACGGGTCTGAGAACTACTGTGTCAGGTCTATTAAAATGGCAGACATGATCCCAGCATTTATTAGTCCAACATTTACATCACAGATATGGAAGTGCCATTATGTACGGCAGTCAGGGAATTAATTCCATTCTCACTGCCTGAGCTCTAAGATTTCCTCTAGTTCTAGTAAAGAGAAGGGTGATAAGGATGATTAAGAAATGGCAGTGTTCCCTTATGAGGGAAGACTAGGTGTTTGAGGCTTTTAAGCTACCAAAGCAAAGGCTGAGAAGAATCAGTTCACTGCAAACACCTCAGCAAAGGAAGGATCAAAGTGGAAAAGCAGTATTAAACTGCAGGAGAGTGCTGTTCAAAGAACAAACGGATATCCACTGTAAGGCTGCTAGTGCAGGGGGACTAGATTCACCAGCTTGTGAGAACCCTCTCTTGTGAAAAATAGGACTAGACAGGATCAAAGAGCTTAGTACATCTGCCTACATCTTATGAAGTAACTAAAATTCAAGGCACAAAAAAAGAATAAAGAGGAAGAAAAAGGTTCCAGAAACACAATGAATGGGGAAAAAACAAACAAAAACAAAACCTGTATCATGTTTCAGGGACTAAAGATGCCATGTCCCAACAATCAGAAACAAAGAAATACCAATGTTAAAGAGTGTCTGATGCACTGAATGCCTACAGTCAAAGCATGAGAAAGAGGTCAAATGATTATATACAAGCAAGACAAATATTGTAAGTGATTAAATATGCCTAGTTAGCTAACTAATACTCTAGAGCATATCCCATCTGGGAACTTGAAAGTGCTTCATAAGCCTTAATGACCTACCTCTCATGAAAAACCATGATTGCATTATGTACCGCTTTACAGCTAGCGAACTTTAGACACCGATAAAGAGGGACCTGATCCATTGCAATATGGAAGCATATGCTTAGTTTTAACTACGAATGGTCTCCTGCCATGCACTTAAGTGCCTTGCCAGATCATAAATGTGAATGGTTATCCTTAGAATAATATAGCAAGCATATATCAGGATATTAATGAAGAATGAGTTTTAATGACCACCATGTACCTCTATTTGCATACTGTCAACTGAAAAAACAACGGAACACACCACTAAGCATGGTTCTGTATATAACTGTGGGCCACTCACCACCATCACTCAGCGCGTAAGAGACTCATGGATCATTATTTAGGAATCCCTGCTTCAGGACATAAAAGAACTACAAGCTATCGTCAGAAGGTGCTACTGACACAAACAATAAAATTGGGCCTTTCCAGTAAGGATGATGAGCTTGCTCCTAACCTGGTTACACAGAGCTAGATTTTCAAGTAAGTGCTAATTTAAATACCTACAGCATAGTAGCAGGCTTTCCAAAAACCCTCAGCAAACAGAAATTCCTTGTATTTCAAAGCAGGTAGCACTTGGGTATCAACACGCTTGAAATTCCAGCATGTCCAGTCCAGCCCAAGTACCATTGGTACTGAATTAATGTGCAAAATCAGATTCATAAAGCCATGAGCTATCTATTCCTACAGCAAAATGAATTTTTTTTTTCACTTTCAGTGCACAGATACGCTACCAAGAGTGAATCTGGGAAAAAGATAATGAATGGTTTTAATCGCTGTAAGTGAGAACTCTAGCCCTGCTCTCCCCCTCAGGAAAATCTTGGTATGTCACCACTGCATCAGGATTCTGAAACATGATAAACTCTGTCATGGTATTGTTGTTACGCGATTTTATGGTGCCATTAAAGTACTATGGAAGTGAATCAGCTACTGAAATCTGGCAATGAGCTCTCATACAGGCTTATAAATCAGAATTCATTGTTTAGAAATAAAGAGATTTAGTATTAACTATGCATACAATTACACAGCTCACACCTCCTAGCACATCAAGAGTGACACACCAGATTGTTATTACAGGCATATTTCTTTATTTCTTTATTTCTTTATTTCTAGCTACCTGAATGAAGATGGAGACTCAAAGAGTTTTATTTACCTTCGCTCCATGTTTATGCAGAACTTCCATGACATCATTATGAGCTTTTTCAGCTGCAACATGCAAAGGTGTCATGAAACTAGAAAAAGGAAAAAAAGAAAAAAAGGGAAGATATTACTTTTACATTCCTAGTATGACAGACTCCTTTTGAAAATTTTAAAATTTCAGAAACCTACTCTTTGTTTTTCTCATTAACATTTGCTCCTTTCCTGAGCAAAAGTTCCGTAACTTGCTTCCGTTTGGGATGCACAGCGGCCACAGCACAGTGCTGCAAAAAAAAGTAAATATAAATTATATTTCAACCACACAGATGACAAAGAGCTTTAAGATCCATGACTTCATCTCTTAATTACTCTGCTGAACATCAGACTACAAAATTTACGAACAGAATCCATCATATTTCTGCTGAAACGTATAACATACTGAACAAAATACAAGCTAGTGATCAATGCTTAATTATTCTACTCTGAAAAACAATTTTAATTTTAAAGTTATCTGTCACTTATGAAAAAGTGGTCTGTTCCCAATTACATTAACAAGCTATCAGGACAAAACCAGCACATAATGCACAAAGGAGGTAAAGACAAAGGTCTTGAAACAACCTTCTACAGAGGGACTCCAAAGGGTCTGTTAAGGTTCTGCTGCTGTTGTCAGATTAATGTGACTGTTGAATGTTGCTTTGTTTCTTCTTCCATTTCAGTGTGTACTGAACTTGCTAACCTAATGGCAATTCTGTTCTGCATCCAGTTACAAATCATGCAATAAACAAATGGGCAATAATGTTCTCTTAGAGTATCTTCATTCCCATGCTATGAGAATGAGAGGTCTTTCACACAGTGCTTTTCAACACTCAAGCCTGCCCTTGTGGGAACATCATACAGCCCTTTGCTAGGTGTAACTATTGTCCTGAATGTGGCTGGGGTCTGCTTGTTCATTTGCCTGTGCATTCAGCACTCAGAAGAGAGCACTTTGTTCCCCCTTTCTTTCTTCGACCCTCTGCAGAGACTAGACTCCATCTGTGCTGACATTTTCAACAGTGGCCCTACCAATGCATTCCTGAGGCCTGAAATTGCAAGCATGGTTCCAGATAAGCTGAACATTATGCTTTAAAATCAGTCCAGAAATGCTTGTCTCAAGTTTGGATGTCTCAAGATAGCAGACGATGAGAAATAGGAGATACTTCTGAATATTTTTATTCATACGTTTACCCATGTTTTAAACCAGTAACCTGTAAAAAGCAGATAGTCTCCTGGAACAGAGTTCTCAAACTTTCCAATTGCAAAACAATCGCCTTTACAAGGAGATAGACCCCAAACAGAACGCTAATAAGTAGCAATAATACTGATAACCATCTTTTGCCCAGTTTCAGCCTTCACTATGAAGTAACTGCCACTCACACTTCCACACTGCTGTTAGTCAGCAGAGCACTTCCAAGTTTTGCAAAGGCAAGCTTTGAAAATAAATAGTATTATATTCAAACATTATATTGAAAATAAATATTGTTTATTATATTCAAACATTATATAGAAAATAAATCAACTTTTGCTCTGAAGAATGGCAGTATTTTTGAGGCTTTGCAGATAATAATCTGTCTGCATTTCCTGTCAATATGATAAACCAGCACTAAAATCAGCACAGATGCTGAAATATTGCAAATACTCAGAGCAACACTGACACATAAACCAGGTGCTTGCTTTGGCCTTTGTGGTGCAACAGAGTACAGACTGCAGTGCCCCATGGTAGAATATACCATGCTTAGGACAGCAATAGCTCAGTTCAATTGTACATAACCTCATCTGATCCTGCAAGCTAAGTCCTGCCACTTCGAAATCTCAAGTACGGGAGGCAAAACTTGAGAAATCAAGTCAAAATCACGTCAGTCAAACGCTTATTGAACAGTGAACAAAAGACATAAATAGAGATAAAATACCCCATTTTGCCTAGCTGTTTCTGCAGAATGAGCAGGCAGAGAGGAGCAAAGAACACTACAGGACTATGAAGTGATCATTATACAGCTAAAGAGATGCCACATATCAGCAGCCGATATACTCAGGAAGAAAAGGATAACATCATCCCAAACTCCCTACTGTCTCTATGTTGAGCCTCTAAATATCTCTTCTCCATCTTGCTTCTAAGTTCAAGTTAGGATGCCAAGTCCTCCATGGAGAGAGCAGAGCATATGGGTGCTTGGTACTCAACACAGTGTTCTGGATCACAAACACAATGTTTGTAACACTAAATATACGGTTGTATGCCTGCAGCTGAGATCTACCACTGTGAAGAAAATGTTCCACTGTAATAAAGTATCATAACTATAGTGGTTTTAGTAACAGCATCAGTCCCTTTCAACTCCAACATCTTCACTGCATCTGGGAAACTGGCTGTGTTCTTTGCCTCCACCGCATCTTCAAACAATGAAATAAGAGCAAGATGCTGCCAGGAAAGTCTCGAAGACTCCTGTTTCCATACCTAATGTGGTATCGTCAGTACTATATTCCAATCCTCTAAGGCCCTGTGATATACACCTAGCATCTATTTTCACCACCATTTTACATACCCCGTGAAGAAAATTTGTAATCCAAGTTTGCCCACATGAAATACCAAGGAAGCACTGGGCTACTAGAATAAAATTTAACCCCAGAAAAAACATAGCAACTGACCACCACCACCAACAACAAAAGAATGTGATGGGAAAAAAGCAAAAAAGAAGTGAAAGATGAACAGGTGAGGAGTGGCTGGAGGGCTTCTGCAATCTACCAGGAAGAAGAAAAAAGTGATAAAAATTACATGGTGTTTTTTCTATAATGGTGATTTAATTTTTATATATAAAGTGTTTGATGGCTAATCCTCAATCTCAGATTATTAATGTATTTCATAGTGTAGAAATAAAACTCCTCAACTAGCACTACTACCACATTTATCATAAAATAAATGGATTGACTGTATAATCTCACCAGTGCAGTCTCATGCGACTGTGGCTGCTTAAAATTAATGATCTCCAAAGCAAGTGTCTTCTTGACTTTGGCTAGGTCTGCCTCTCTGGCTGCTTGCAGTAAAGAGTGTCCTTTGAATTCGTCTGTTAGAGGAAAAAGATGCGCTTAATATTCAGCAACATGTCACATTCATAAGTGTTACCGGAGAAAGGTAGCTATACTCAATTCAGAGGAAATAAAAGTATTTCTGCATATCTTCTGGGACACAGAACATGAAACATGGTTTACTGAAACCAAAGGGACCTTCTAAAGGAGAGGAGAAGTGATTCCTTGAGTAAAAGCCTTATAGCTTTTCTCCCTCTTACCTTCCACCCACTTGATATTAAATGCATATGTGACCTCTGAATTACCTATATATATGTTCAAGTGAGCAGAATGCTGTTACATGCTCTTCAGACAAAAAGCATTACAGTTGCGCTACAAAGAAGAAACAGGTTTTATAGCAGCTGTATCTTTGCAACTATGGAGAGCTAATTTTGTTATTTTCAGTGTCACACGTTGTTCAGTTCAGCAACCAGTTCATTTCAGTTTTAAATCATTTTGAATTTGAGAAAGACTAAAAGTGTTTCTCTTAAAATGTACAAATGAAAGGTAGGTTAACAAGAATGATGTCTGAATCCGGGAATTAGGGGAAAAAAAAAAGTTGAACAATATCAGTAAAAATACCAGTATTATTCTTTCACATGCAATCTTGGAAATGCTAAGTTTGTTGAGAGGGGCTTTCTTCCCCCACTCTTGTTTTATCATCCAGTGCATTTGTGGATTTAGAAATAAATATAATAACTTTTAAGTTTTCATTTCAAATAGAATTCAAATTTCTTGGTAAACAAAGCATTACTCAAAGCACAAGTACAAATAAATCTTGAAATAACAAATAAATATAATATTATTCCTAAAGTATAAAACCAAAGAACTCAAGAATATACTAAACGTTATTTTGGGCATGCAAATACAGGATGGCCCATCAAGACACTGTCAAATTTGTCATAACTCTCACATTTGTGCACCCATTTCAGTGGATAATAATGGACATGAATCTTTCCTCACCCCCCTCCAGGAACTATAAGCCCAGAAATAAAAGGAATTTTTAATTTTTTTTTTTTTTGCTTGTTAATTTAAACAAATAGTAAATTAACCTGCCTCAAAGCCAGGAGCATCTCCCACGTTAGCCCTGAAATGAGAGTACAGAAGTAGCTAAATGATATTAATGCCCTCCTCTTTCCTCCTAGAGCAAAGTTTTCACAGCTGCACAAGATCTCACCACCTTTGCACGCAAAGAATAGTGATAGACAACCACCCGAGTAGCTGTGACTGAGTAGTGCAGGGTCACATTCTTAGTGTGTCAGGGGGCTTCTGCTACACTGGAAAGGTGACAGACAAAACCAAAAGCTTATTTATAGTTGAGTTCAGAGCCAACTTCTCAAGGAGGAGTTTTTCTGTAACTTTATAATCTTTGTTTCCATACTTATGTCATTTAATTAACTTTTACAGTTTATAAGAGTGAGAAATCAAATCCCCGAAAGAGGGAAAACAAAGGCAGACAAAATACGAGCTGAAACATTGTTTTGCAAACAGCATAAGGATTGCAAAGGCTACAAGAGAAGGTGCTTGAATTTCCATCTCCAAATTTGCACACCAAAGCTACCTACCTTCGGGAAGTTACTCTTTAAGAGAGATACAGAGCCTTGATACAGAGGCTCCTATGTGACTTAACTGGACTTTAAATACAACACCATCCCCCACCACCCCCAGTCACTGCCTTAAACCTTTCAAATCTAAGAAAAACAGACAGTATCACGAACGGCCTATTAGAGGTATCTGTGTACTCCAAAGTGAGAAGCACAGCTGCAGTCACTCTGCTGCTCTGCATCTACTTGTGAAGTGTGAGGAAAGCTGGCTTGAAAGGAACACACCCCTGCACACCTACCGACAACTGCTTGCAGTCTGAAAACACTTACAGGTCAGTCTCTCCCTCAGCTCAGGCGTCGGAGCCATATCGACCGCGCTCTTGCCGTGGCAGTTGACTAACGTGGGATCCGCACCGTGGCTCAGCAGGAGGGAGCAGACCTCTACGCGGTTCTTGGAAGCAGCCTCGTGCAAGGGGGTAAATTGCCAGAGGTCCATAGCATTCACACAGGCACCATGCTAGCACAGCAAAGAAAGCCTTGTATTAGTAAAGAAATCATCTTCAACAACTAAAAGTTCACAGATTTTCATTTCATTTCATTATAAAAACTGGTTCCATTCTTTCATATATGAACACATACACAAAAGACTAGTTATTAAAATACCTGTATACTCAAGAATACGTTTGAATCCTAAGAAAAAAAAAAATAGAATTTCTGCGTGAGCTAGTTTTTCAAAAGAACAGATTTTTCCACAGAAAAATTCAAATAAATGAAAGGCTACTATCTGTCCAAAAAAATCAGGTGAGGGTAAAAAAGAAAGACCTAAAGTTGCAGGCTTCTGAAATGACATACGGGATGTTTGAAACCTGTTACTACAGAAAAGAAATCTTCAACTCTGGTATAAACAGTTCGTATCTCACCTAACACATCTAAATCTAATTACTTTCCACTCTTCTGCTTACCTTAAGCAGCAGCTCTGTAACCTCATAGTGTCCATATGAACATGCATTATGAAGAGGCACAAGACCACTGTATGGAAGAAGGCAAATGACAAATTTATTTAAGCAGCACTCTTAAAGGAGGAACAATTTTTGGTCTACTGCGAGATGAACAGAAACCAGCTTAAATCTAAATTATTTAAATATTCAAATATTTAAAAATTAAGACTCACAAACTAATGGAAAAAGCTAACCTTCCTAAACAACATATTACTTAAGATTGGCATTAATTTTCCTTTTTTTTTTTTTTTTTGTCCTAACAGGCCACAGATATTTAATCCAGCACTAAGATTAGCATTAATTGGCTTAGAAATGATATTTCTTGAAGGTATTAAGAGGGGGAAAAATCCCATTCCACATTCAATTTGCTTGAGAAGTCAGTGTTTTGCTTCTGCCTAAACATGAACTCCTATTTATTTAAAATGCTATATGAAAGGAAAAAGTCCCCAGATAACGCTAACGTAACTCCTGGGTATATTATGAAGATGTACAAATATCCATAGAAAGCAGACTCAAATTGCTGCTCAAGATTGTGGAATGACCTGATTTTGCTCCATTTCTTACAGTACAACCTATTTAACTGTGCAAGATATTTCTGAGAGTCCCTGTAATTTTTGCACAGCTGTATTACTGGAGGCCATACTTAAAAATGACACTAGCAAAGTAAATAACAGGGACCTAGTCATAAGCACAAGATGTAATAAAAGTCATGCATAGAAAGAGAGATGCAAAGAGGACAATTACTACAGAGGATAGAACGAGTTTAATTCAAGCCAAGCAAGACAGACTAGTTATGGCTCAACAAATCAGGATGCGTAATACACTGAAAACAATAACTACCCCTTCACCATTTATGAAAAATACAGGAGATGATTCCCAGAACTGCAAAATCAACTCATAGAGCACTGAGACAGCAAGTATTAGACCAGGGGGTAAACTCAATTTTAAGGTAGATGCTCTCAGAAGCAGCATCGCACTTCTCACAGGAGCGGAAAATTTTTCAAACTGTTCTTTTCTGTTGTTGCTTTTCTTAATTACAACTTATGGCTGTGTATGTGAGACAGAGAGAGAGTAGCTGGTCCACAGAGCACTCAAAAATCCTGCCTTCTTCCAAAATGACTGTCAACTAAGAGGACTGAGGCCTTCAACGTCTCGTCAGCAGAGACAGTCACAGCAGCAATCAACCTGGCCAGTCCTGCAGCATACCCTCCCCGTTTCTTTTCCAGCACATTGTGACTTTGTGCACAATAGCAGTAAGGCAAAGAAAGGACCAGCGGAAAACGAGCTGCTTCCTTGGTTGCAGTCCTCTTCGGCAGTAACAAGAAGTGACAACCATTTTGAAGATGCATGCCAGTTCCTTAGGACTCTCTCTGATGTGACCCCACTGAAGAGAAACTAATATGCCTATAAAATCAATGTAACCTAATTTAGCTCTATACATGATAAATGACATTTATTTATAGCCTATTTACTTATAAGTTACAGATAAATAAGGAACAGCAAGAAAAAACAAAAAGTCATATTGACTGTAAACCTGTGATGTTGTTAAAGACCAAGAGGAAGCTTACTGGGCTGTCAGATGTTTCTAAGTATGTTTGAATTGTTTTCAAGTTTAATACAAAGTGAGTGTACCATTAATTTCTTTTTCTTCATACTTTCCAAGTAGATTATTCAAACCTCATTAAAGCATCTATGCTGCAGTGCTCAAATTTTGGAAGGCGTGAAATGACTAAAACTTGCTTAACGATGCTGGGTCTACCTGAATAGGTATTACATGTAGCTTTACTCTGGGGTTTTTTTTGACTTACATAACGGGTTATCAGACATTTCACAACAATTCCAACCAAAAAAGCCATTAAGGGTGAATGTACAGGCAAAAGCGCTACAATTAGTCAATCTTCAAGAGTTTAAGTAAGCTTGGGACTGGTTTTGGAAAGAAAAAGGAAAAAAAGAAAAAAAGCTAAGAACTTAATTTAAAAATCTCTTAACACTAGGCTGGACTCAGCAGAAAATCAAGATATGGGACATGCCTCAAGATTGCTGATGGAGACAGAACACACACTCATTAATAACTTGCCTCTATGGACTCCGAACACAAAATGCATGCCTTTAACCAGGGGCCCAAGTCCTGCAATGTTAGGATGTAAGCCTTCCTATCAGACCACCACGAGAATCATCACCTTAGATTTCACAAACCTATGGCTGAGAACAACGTACAATACGTATCATTCCACACTTCTGACTGCTGCGTGCTTTTTGTTGGTGTCTTATGTAACTACCATCCTTAGTGCAAAAACAGAATAGTTCAGTTTCTACTATATCTCGATTTTTGCTGGCAACATTCATCAACTTAGGTCTCCAGGGACCACTAGTTGTGAGCACAAGTGTTATTGATATTACTTTGAATTACATCCACATATAGGTGACAAGATAATGAGACTATAGAGAAATTTTCAATGCACATTTTTTTTCACTAAGCCCATATTACCTTCTCCCCATCACCTTCCCTAAAATAATACTCAAAGACCATGATTTAACAGTGTAGTCTGTATATGGAAGCAAAGAATAAGGCTTGGAAAAAAATTTAAAGATGTAATAGAAGGGCTAAAACAAGTGCAATCACAGCTAATCTGTTATTGAGGCTCTAACAAAAATTAGTTTATGATGAACAACACTCAGATTTTGGAAGCAAATGTCGCATTTTCAGCAACTACTTGAGATTATGCTGCAACATGAAACAGAGAAATAATTTCTCAACTTGATTAACACAAAACCATTGCTGCAAACAGATAATAAGTCATTTCATTTTACATACCCTTTATCCTTTGCATGAACGTCTGCACCATGCTGAAGCAGGAGTTGGACTATTCGAACCCTGTTGTAGCCTGCTGCTAGGTGTAAAGGAGTGGACTGCAAAGTAAAACAAAACAAGATGAAGAATAGGAGCCACATGAACTTGAAGCCCTGCACTTCCTGCCACTGAAGTACTCCTCATTTCTCTTACACGTTGGATCAAGATCTGCTAGGCTTCCCTTCTGTGATTAGCCAAATTGACAAATACACAGAACATGCATGCCGCTTCTGCTGTCAAATTAAATAAATGTTCCTTAAGGTGGGAAAGAATCCAGGTATCTCCTAAGGCAATAACAAGCTCATAATTCAAAGCCAACTCAAATAATGGCCCAGCTTTGTTTTGTTTGGATTTCAGGAGGGTTTTTTGTTTGGGTTTGGTTGTGGTTCTTTTGGGGTTTTTTCATTTGTGTTTTTTTTTTTTTTAATGCAAGAATTTAATTAATTTTTAAAATGCTAGAATTTAATTTTTTAAATTCATAAGCAAATTTATGCAGTTCATGCTGCATACTCACAGGTTACAAAACTGTTTGTATGTAGGCTTGTTGCAACAAGTGCACAAGAGGCAGACTGTACACCAAACAAGTAGTCATACGCTTTCTGTACTGTGCTGATACAGGGAGCACACTGCATGCAGTTTCCTGCAAAACACACATCTTCAGCAGTAGTGCACATTGCTGCATAGCAACAGAGTAATAATAGTACCTTCCTCCACAGCTAATTCATAAGAATTTTAACTGAGCTTTTGAATTTGACAACAGTAATTCCCTTCAAAGTTTATTTTAAAAGCTTTTTATTATGAAACAAATTTTATGTGCTGTCTCAGTCTGAAGGAACTGATTTCTTACATGAATGTGTGATGTTGTTTCCTCCTTCCCAAGGCTGAATAGTAGAGGATTTAATGTGAACTTTGTTGCAATTTATTTTGTGGCATGCAACCAAACAACACAACTTTATTACAGTAAAACCCTATACTTAAACCAGCTTGAACACATGGGAAGACTTAGATATCTCACAGTATTAAGCCAAGTAAAGATTTACTGTCAGCATCAACAGATCATTATACAGCACTACAGGCGAGACATTAACATTCTCACTATTATCAAGATTCAAAACACAAAAATCAAGACAAATGGCCTCATCTGTGGTAAATGGCAGCAGGTGCTACATATCCATAGTGGTATGGATTTCCAGGAATTAATACATATTTAGTATGACCATAACTTGCAGTAGTCTGTATTACATTTTACTAGTCTCAACACTTTGCTACTTTGTTCCAGAAAGAGTAACTACTTTGACACCTACCAAGTGTTCTGTGCACCATAGTAAGGACACAGCTTGCACTATCAGAAATGACAGCACAGGACATCTCTACGAAAAATATTTGGCTAACTCATTTTATTTAGGTAAGCAATTATGCAAGTTTCCGTAAGACCCATTTTTGGAATTATCGATACTCAGAATAAGGACCTCTAACATTCCTAACCTGAAGATCCCTAAAGTGTATCCAAAGTACGAAACGCCACCATGAACAAAATGGGTCAAATCTTTCAAGTGTTTGGCCATTCAAATTGTTAGGATCTATTATTCTGTTTCAGAAAGGCTTCTACTACTGAATTAACAATTTGGACTGATCCAGAAAGGTATTATATTCTTTTCATATCTGCCCCTACTATAAAATATTTGGCTTCTACATACCATAAACACTAATGAAAATGTGCATAAAGATTATGCCACTATTGACATCAGCAGGATACTTCAGTACTGTTTATTCTGACAATTCCCTTGGTTTGGTTACTAAATCCACTGATTTCATAGTTCAGAAGACCTGAAAGGAATTTGAAATGGACTGCAGAAAAGTCAGTCTATTGAAAGGTCAAAACTCCAGATGAAACTCAAGCAAACCCTGTATCTTCAAACCACTTCAGGATCCTCTAACCTCACTACAATTAAAGTACATCCACTCTTGTCTGCATGCTACTTCTAAAACAATGATGGCAGACTTCCAAGACGATGCTTTACTCATATTAAGTGTTATTAGTAGGGATGTTCTCAATAAAGATACATCAACCCTGGAGTCTCGTTCACAGCTTAAAATTAAAACTATTATGACTCAAGCTGGGACTGTGCATTTTGTATTTCTAGGGTTATTAGACCCGCATTTGCCAAGTAACTTCATTAGAGAAGAAATCCAAAACATTTCAAGCTTATAGTTGCAAGACAAATGATGTAAGTGAAGCAAAAAAATGTCATCCCAAGTCTTCAGACAACTAATATCCCTGCCTTCCAGAAAGGTGAGTTACTGCCTTCTCCTTGAGCAAGGCCACACAGACACCATGGTCCCACGAATGAACACGGAATACCACGTCTTCCCCAACATACCAGGAACGAGTCATTCAGCTGCAGCCAGGTGCCTGGTTTCTGGCGTGCTTGCCCTCCGATCCACAGCAGCTTCAGCAAAGCTGTGCGCTGTGCTGCAGCTGCCTCTCCAAGCAGGAGCTAACGGACACCCCTGGAGAGGGGGCCAAGGTCTCCACCAGCCCGCACGCTTCGACTCTGCCGTCACTGACCACACAGTCTGGAGGAGGACGCCATGCTAGTGACACAGGCAGTCGGAGGGCCAGCGGGACTGCTCGACTGAGGGGCCAGCACACCTGAGCACGCAGAGCAGCCAACCGGGAGGGATGGAGGGATGCTCTCCCTGCATCCCGGCCCTGTCTAACAGAACCCACAAGCCAGTGCTGCTAGCTGCTCCTTAAGTTGTCTAACAGGCTCTTCTAAAATGCTGCGCTTACACACGCTCCAGGAAGGAGGAAGCAGGAAGGCCTGACCTCAACGAATTTTACGGACTTATTTTCCCTTCTCATGAGAAACGTTCATTCATAAATGTTACAGATTTAATAGTTAAAAATACTAATCTGGCATTACAAGCTTGTATGCTCATTACAGAAACTAAGTACCTAAAAGATAATGTCATGCTACACAAACTACTCATTATATGGGATTATTAGACCTCAAAAAAAAAAAAAATTCAAAACCAAAAAAATTAAGTGAATGATGGTTATAAAGAGACTGGTGTTTAAAATTAACAGGCTGTTTATATAGCACTAGAAAAGCAGAAACTAGCTATCACAAACAGTAGTATTGTATACTGCACCTGCAAGGTATATCAAACTAATCACTTAATATTAAGAAAAGAGATTTAATTGAGCTGTCAATTAACCCCTCCTCCCATGTCTTGGAATACCTGGCAAGAGACTAACAAGAATCCCTAGAGGGCACTTACCCTGCAAGGCTCACATTCACAGTTACCAAGCCAATCACGCTGTCTTACTTGCTACTGTAATTAAAAAGAGTACAACTCCACTTTTATTAAGTAAAGTAGACACTCATGTAAGATGCTCACATTATTTTTAAGTTTTATGGCAGCTGTAATTGAACAAAAGCAGGTGCTGTGCATTTCAAGGAAGATCACTGTACACAAGATGGCAATCACTGTCAACCTGTATACCTACAATTTATACTAAAGAAGGTATTTTTGCCTACAGTCTTTTTGAAAATGTGTTGCCTGGGAATAAGAGAAATGCATTTTTAGATTTAAAAAACGTACATACAGCAGTTTAATACTATTCTGATTGAGCCTTAGGTATTTTCACACTGCTTTGTTACCAACAGTTGATGACCCCTGTTCAAGGTCACCTGCCTTGGACTTGCTGTCCCCTGTTCACCTGCATCAAACAAAAGGGGCACCAAGGAATCACCAGAGCTGTGGAGCTGCTTCCAGTGATATCAGAAAATTGGTTTCGACAAATTGTCCCCAGGCAACACTGGAGCGCCAGCTCCAAGCACCATCCATTTTGCTTCCCATTTCACTAAAGAGTCTTCAGCAGCTCTTAGATGGTAACACTGCCACAGCCTCAGGAGAAAGTTGCATTTTCAGCTTCAAATTATGGATTGCCCATTCTGTAGGCAACGTTAAATTAAGGGATCTTATATCATGCATTATCTGCATGATCAATAAAGGCTGCAGGAATTGTTTTAAGAACTAATATTGCATGCTCTCACTTTCTGCTACCAAAATCTCTATATAATGCTATCTGATAACAATCTTTATCAATGTGTTTCTCTCATTCTCAAGCTGTCATCCTGAAGGCTATTAAAATCAACAACCAGTCTTGATGCATGTATGATAGCTCTTCATCTAATTTACAACACTATACAGTGATTTAAAATTATCATAATTTAATTTCATCTTCTACAGGAAGGGCAATCTCAAAATAAAGAGGCAGCGCCCTGATTTTGAGAGCCTGCTCTGGCCTTGACATATTATGGCTACTCCCGTGTTCAGAAGGTCCACCAGGATACGCACCAGTAAGGGTGGCTCTTACACAGATAAACAAGTGTGACTTGGCAGAAAGTACCTAAGGACACTCACTATGTTTATTGTTAACTCTTCTACAACACCCTGCTGACAAAGGATGTCAAAAAAAAAGAAAGAGAGGGAAGAAGGAATTTTAAAATGTTTTATGTACACTTTAATATATGTGAGTTTACCTCATCTAAAATGATCTTCAAATTTGGTAGATTTGGAAATTGCAGGTATGCAGAAAACTCCCATCTAACTTTTGTCAAGCAGAAGGGGCCTTTGTTTCACAGTTTTGCATAAAACTGACTGTTTTGAAACATGTCCTGACTCCTGGAAAGACGACTAGTTGAATCTGGCATACTAAGGAAAAACTTCTGAGCAGGCAAACAACCCTCTCTTCACCGGGTTACAATTTACGACAGGATCTTTCTTTCCAACTGCAATAGTCTGCATCTGCTTCATGCTGCTCTCTTACAGACTTCTCTCAAATGAACTGCATCAATCATGAGCGCACATCGGGAAGACATTCTGGATGCGAGAGGAATATCTCCTGTCGCCACTTTATCATTCTGATTAATGGGGTAAGAAAACAAGTTGCAACATCACAATCTTGAAGAGACATTCCTGAACTTGTCCACTGTGGAAATGACCAGGCTCTTCCTTTGCCACATAGATGCCAGCTGGCATCCCAATT